TATGTTATCAAAATAATACGCTTACGTTAAAGATATACGCGTGTGGGGTGTCTCGTGAGTCGTGATGCATCTCAGAGATGTGTACATCGTTAGTGAATGATTATTTCAACAGATTTCTTCTTCGTTGCTCCCAGTAACGAGAAGCCATTACATTTAAAGTGTACATCTGTCTTGTTAACCTCACATATAAAACACGTTCCACATTTGTCTTGCAATTTCATACATAATATTGAAAGATTTTTTGGTTTTATTATCAACACTAAGAAGTGACTTTGATGGAATAGTCACTAATATTTGTCCAGTCATTATAACCAAATCGATTTGTATTATTAAATAGATTCCAATGTTTAATACACTGCATATTTATTAATTTATATTATGAACCAAGTCAGATTGTTATTTGAGTTTTAACTTGAAAAATTCATAAATATTTCTAATAATATCAAAAACAATCGGATTTACCGAAAGTAAAAATACAAGGGATATAAAATGTTTGATTTAACAAAAATGTTATATCAGCACCAAATGTTGTGAAAACACTCTCCTGTTTCTATAAATTACACCGAGTACAGTAAACAGAGACTGTTACGATATTGGTCTGTACAAATAAAAGGGATAGAAAAATATTTACTTGGAAAAATTTTATACCAAAATTCAGGAATCAGATTATTAAAAAATATATTATGGCCAGTATCGTTTGCTCAAGAAAAGTCACATAATTTAATTAATAAAGGATTTTTGTTCAAAACAGTATCAAAAATACTATAAGAGTTTATTTTCATAATTTTTTCATACAATTTTATTCGAACTAAAGAATAATAAGTCACCATTATCACAATCAGTCATGGTGGCATAAATATATCGTCTCAATTTATTCTCGTTTCACGGGGAAATAGGTTGAATTATCAAATTTGTGTTCATTCAGATATAATTCTGTGGACTATTTTTCATTTTAAAACAAACTAGAATATGGAAAAAGTTTTGAGGTTATTTTAGTTGTATTTCTTTTAAAATCACACAAATCGTCATAAGCTTTGTTACAAAGATTTTATGTTGATGTTGCTATTCTCAATTTAGACTTTATAGGGAAGAAAACCATTAGATCTATATCTATGTTCCACATATCGCTATTAACATGAGATACATATCAATTCAAAAATAGAATACATAAGGGATATTTTTTGTCTTTCATATTAGACTGCATATTCGTCTTTTACCGTAAAACTGGTGCTCAGATGGAGAGCATTTCGGTACTGTATTAATCAGCCGTTAGATTTTTAATGAGGATGAGACTTGATGGCATTATCTGTTCGTGTCTTTAACCACAGAAGGTCCAAGCTATTGGTTGTAAGATTGTTCATATCACCCGGTATCCATAATGTCACATATTTAAGACATCCAAGATAACAGAGATATTGCCGACACTCGTCACAAGATGTAATACAATTTTTCATGAATGTCTACCCATTAGTTGAGCGTCGATAAAGTGATTGAACTGGTCTTTGGAAGCCGATATATACACATGAAGCATTCGGCATAAGTTCATCCTAAGGAATCGGTTTGTTGCAGGAAATTCTCTGCTGAGTGGTAATTAAGACAGCGGCCGATGTCAGCTTACAACTAAGATATTTGCTTTCCTTACTATTGAGTACTTTGATAATTCAATATTCGTTCACATATTTTCTTATCCATTAGTTGATGACTGTTGATTCTAAAATTAACAAATTATTACCGAAATTAAAAAAATCTATTAACATAAAAGTTTATTTACGTAAAAATTATTAATGAAATAGATCTTTGAAAGGGTTCCTCAATTTAAATAATTCTAAAAAAAGTATTATATCAATCTTCGGGGTGTTTTTTAGTAAGAGCAAATAATATTTTACGAGTGCCATAAGTTCATTAATCCTTTAATACGTTTAAGCATGTCTGAAGGCTTGCAATCAAACATATTTGATACAACACAAAGATACGTTTTGGATTTCAAGTTTTAAGAACATTGTTTGTATACATTCTTACATAAAATTTGACTGCATCAGTTGTGAACTTGTATTTTCTCTACAACATATATATGATAATTTTTTTATGTCATACGATTCGTCATACACAATGCCAGTGTACTCATAAATAACCTCATTTGTAAATTTAACAAAAACAAAATAGAAAAACATTGAGATGTTTCTTTTAACTTGACAGTATTATTCCCAAGAGCGGCAACTAAAAACAAACCATTTACAAACTTAATATACTCAGAAAGCCACTTAAACATTATGTAAATACATACATTTAATTGTTAGGTAACTCCCACACATTTGACAACAAACACGCATGTTAATTTTAGTATTAAAAGTAATAATAATAATGGTATTTAATACATCGTATCAGAGAATTTCAAAATATAAAAAATATTCAGACCCTTTCTAATATAGCAAATTCCTAAAGAAAAATTAACCGTTTTACTCTTATCCAACCTTATTATATCGTATTAGATTACCGACTTATTAATTTTCTTCATGAGTTTTATAATAAGAAAGAAATTTCATTAGAAAATATAAACGCTATTATAACTAAGCCAGCAATCACGTTGTAAAACAAAGTTAAAACTCCAATCAAGGTTCACAACGACCACTTCTATAATAACAGAATGTTCAATATTCATTGCGCGCTGAGAGATAATTATACTTCATATGGAAATTCAGCCGCGAATTACAGAAGACGTGTATTGTAATATAGAAATCGTGACCGAAATACCGCTTAGTTTGAATAATGCTTATATAAACCTACGTTTACTGACGTACTACGCGGTTTTATTATTTTATTTGAAGCAAACCATAGTTGAGCGACAACCTTACATATTGCCATATATGAAGGTATTTTCTCACAGAATAGCTAATAGGCAACATTTTGAACAAGGTTTCGATAAAGACTATATACAAACCACACAAGAAAGTGAGCCTATTCTCGAGACCTATCAAGAGTGCCATTCCTTTACACGAAGCGGGTGTGTACAAACTTGATTATGACTGTGGCTTTTCATACATTGGACAAACGGAGAAGAGCGTCAGTACAGGGGTCAAAGAATAATTCACATATTGGTTATCAAAAATAGAAGTGCATCAAAGCCAGAAGTGAACACACAATAGATAAACCAGGCTACTACATTCGGTTTGATAAACCACAAATCCTCGCTCGTGAAGACACCCTTACATTTATACATATATATGTATGAATATAATTAATCGAAAGCTCAGGAAAATGTACGATAAAGTTATATAGCTATGTAGTATTTACAACACATACATTAATTTTAAGATATAATTTTGCTGAGACCGATGTTTACCTGAAGAATTTTCCTGCTTATGTGAACAAAAAACGAAACTGATCGCCCCCTAAGCATTATAAAAGTAACGTAAAATAATTGTTTACAAATTGTTTTCAATGCTTTTAATTCGAGAAAATACTTTAATGTCAGAAGTTCATTTTAATGTATGTTTACATACATATAGTTATAAGTAAGTACATCTACTGCTCTGTAGCTAGAGAAATGTTTGACATATGAAGTTATTTTAGGAAAATCTTTTTGGTTCTTACTATAAAACAAAAAAATGCATAGGAGTAAATACATATATATGTATGTTGAAGCATTACCATTTAAAACCCTTTATTAGGGATAATTGTTTTATAACAATTTTAATTTAGAGGGTAGATGTGTTATAATCATCTGTCGTGATGTTAGAAATTTCTTTCACAATGTTATTTGTAGTTTGTTCTACAGATCGTTGTATGATTTGTATTAAAAAACAGTAAAGGTTAATTCATATCGTGATTTGCAATATGTGCAGATAAGTCATTCTGTAAGTCTTAGTAAAAGTAAAACTTAAACAGTAACTACATAATTTGTAATCAGTTTTAATCAATTGTTTTCTATAAATTCTTAAGACAAGATGGTTTAATATTAACTACTACAACTACTGTAATTTTTTGTGATTATTTGAAGGACTACAATTACTCATCGTAACTAAATATTTAAAATTAAAAGAATAAGTGTAATGACAGCAGTGTGAGAACTATCTAGAAGGAAGATTATCTAATTGCAAGTGCAAGTTACAGTCTGAAATAAGGTAGTGGACGTGTTTGTTAGTGTTTTATTAGTTAAATGAAAGAAGAATAAGCTGACTGTTGAAAATAGTAACAGTGACGTCATCATTACTGAGGACACTCTTCTTAAAAATTAAATATGACGTGGTGTTTCGACATATACATCAAAATCATGAGCGTACCGGCGCCCAATGCTGAGATAAGGCCTCTTCTCCTAAGGAATTTATAAGTCCAGGTTTCACGATGTTTCACAATAATAGATTATGAATGAAAATATACATAATTATCATTTCAAATAAACAAGGGCTATGACAAAAACTAAATCATATGGCTCTTGGAGTCTACTAATGTGTTTGCTTGTGATCTGTTTACCTTCCACTATCTACATTTGATCAAGCTACCAATCATTTATGTAAATTACTCCCGGTGATGATATCACACACATGAGTGTCTAAATAGAATAATTAAATTAATATTCTCGGAATCCAATCATTATCGAAACATTTCAGAGGTATATAAAATATTCTCTTGACATCCTATGTACGTATTACTCTGTTCAAATGTTTGAAATATTAAAAACTATTAAGCCACTGAATTACTACAACATTTATATACTATATGATTCTACGTTCTTCGATAAGTTAGGAAATCATATGGTACGGAGTTATTTTAAAATAATCCCTGTTTTTCATATATTTCGATGTAAATGAATCGATATCAAAGTAAAAAGATTAAAAACCATTTCAATAAACAAACCAAAAAAAAATATCACGTATTTTTAGGAACACTGTAAAATTCAGTTTCTAACAATTATAATTAGTAATATGATAGTATTTTTTACAGTTGACGTATATGTATGTATGAAATAAAAATGATTGAATGATTCCTTATTTTGTCACTAGAGGGAGCTGAATGCTGTCGACTTTAAAGTTTCTGCTGACTTGAAGTTCGTTCTGTTGATATCAGATGTGAGACCGGGCTGGCGACACGCAAGACTGGCGAGATACCACGTGTATGATGTTATAACGAGGTGAGTAACAACTAATAAATATGTATATGTAAGTCTTGACAAATCTGGTTAGCAGTATTGGTCAGGAGGTAGGTATAGCTGAACTGGATGGAGAACTCACTGTGTCTCACTGAAAATTAGCTGTCATATTTTCAATTATGGATTATTTAACTTTATTTTTAGGTAGCTGCAGCTATGTATAAGACCTACCCTGCCTTACATATAACAGTCAAAAACCTCTCATTTTCCTTTTACCTCTTTCGTCTTTTATCGTGTGAAGATCAAAACATCTTTATTTAAGTTGAGATAACCGTGCCTGAGGGAACATCAAATCCAACAACGATGGGACTCTGCTCTATAGTTGTCACTGGTTTTTATTGAGTTTATGCAATCCTATATATATTATACTATCCAAATTTTATCTCAGGAACAAAATCCCTATTTCGCCGATAGAGGACGACAGGTCTGCTCCGCTACTGCAGTATGCTGAGTGGTCTCCTGTCGGCTCCGGGCTGGTCTTCGTGTATGACAACGACATTTACTACAAACCCAAAGTTTTGAAAGCCTTGGTTTGCAGAATCACTAGTAACGGTAATTATATAATAATAATATTATAATGAGAAATTTGCATAATGAAATAATTAATAAATATATGATAAGAATGATTTTTAGGATACAGTATATAAAGTGATCAGAAGGATTCATAAACGATTCTTTAGTATATGGTAAGGCAAGTAATGTTTTTCACTATTCAAAAATAGGGTTTAAATACATTCAAATATTATTTGATTCAGTAAAATTTTCGCACTGAAAAACGTCGTATCTGGAAAACGCATCTATTCCTCTCAAATTGACTCAGCATAGCTGTATCACAGTTAACAATATTACCAATTTAGCGAAATCTAAGCGTAAACTGTCAGCATGGTCTAGCTTGATTTTAGAGAAACTAGGATATATTTGGACTTTATCCGACACAGGAAATGTAATATTGGAGATCTTAACAGCTTAGACTTTTAGAAGCTTTACTTATACATATATTTCGACTGTATATTGCTTAACTGTCATTCCACCCTTGGGAAGGTGAAAATGAAGTTGTATATGATAAATTTATTTTATAAATATTGTAAAGATGAAACCTAGCGCCGTTTTTAACGTAGCGTAAACTTTAACAAAGAGGATATTGTCTTGAAATACATATAAGTTTTAATTCAAAAATTTATATGAAGTTAAACATAAAACAATTATACGCACAGATTACTAAACTTATTTTTATTTACATTAAGGTTATGCTGTACTAATAGATAAATTGTAATGAACAGAAAAATACATTTTAGAATGAAAATTCATCGACATTTTAGCAACTGGAATAAGATATTTGCACACGTTTCAGTTCGGAGGTCTTTTTTTCTCATAAAAAGAATAGTTTGTTTAAAATGAGACACATAGTGTTATTTCTTATTTTGATTTTATAAACTTTTCATCTGGCGAGCGATGCATATTAACAGTATTTCTTGCATTGTATGTCTGTTTCAGGTTTGAATCTTGTGCGCGTCGATAAATCTTTATTTATTTCTTTATTTTCTTATTTAAAGATTATTTCACATATAGAATTAAATTTCTATAAACTCACGTTAATATTTTTAAACAAAAAAACTATATAAAAAAAAAAAAAAAACAAATGAACTCTTAAATCGTAAAGAAAATTTCAAATAAGTAGAATATAAATTAAGACTGATTTCCATAACCAAAAACATGAATACAATAAGCATAACACACCATTGCATTGATGAAAGGAAAGAAAACAATAAAAACCTAAATTACAGTTTTTCAAAAGCACAAGAATTATTACTTCTATTACACGCCCTACATCGGAATCGTATTCTGAATCAATGCTTTGTGCTAACATTTACAAATTCTAAATCGGAGATTCCAATCTTTTTCGAGCTTTATTTGATTTCTTCAACACACAAAGCCATAAAGACTTTGTGTAAATTGCCTTCGAAATACCGAAGAGAATTGCTTTATTTACTCCTTATAAGTGTTTGTGTCCCATAATTTACCGATGGTCTAATGAACTTAGTTAGCCAACTTCGGTATAACAATTATGTTATCAAAGTGAAAGTTTCTTGTTCCTTGTTTTATATGTATTATGATCGCTCTGTAATAGATGAGTTTGCAACTTCAGGGTATCCAAGGTAGAAAAGCCTAACTATCTACGATCGTACCGATATTAATGCATGTTTCAATTGATTGGTAGACCGAAACCTTGTTTATGAAGCTAACAATATATTATACTAGTACACCTGGCGAACTCCGTTTCGCCTCCAGAAGGCTTTGTTTTATGTAACATTTCGTTTGGTGATTAAAAGATGAAGAATTTTTTTTGTTTTATATTTGAAAAGGAAAATATTTATTTCATTTCACAACAGTAATGAATTCATTTCGATTACAAAAATGAAGTGTTATTTAGTTGAACTTCTCTAAGTAAATGAAAGTGAATCCAAAGTAGATACCGAATCGAAGCGTTATACGTGTCCGCAAATTATCCGTTTCATTGAAGTGCTCCTTTGTAAACCACATTTTTTGTTTTTTGGTCTAACGTTAACACAAATAAAGCGGATGGTTTCCCAACTCGTGAACACACAAACTATAACTGCCCATGTGAAAAATAATGATTTTCTAAATTTATCCCGCAAATACTAAATTACATATCTGTCATTATACGTCAATCGCATAGCTGTCAATTGTGTTTCGTTATTCCACGTTTTATAGTGACTGACGTTTCATGTCAAGTCCCACGGGAATGCTGTCGAACGGGATAAAAAGTATCCTATCGCAATTTCCTGGTTCTAAACTACCTCCCTGCCAATTTTCAGCTAAATCGGTTCAGCCGTTCTTGAGTTATAAGTGGGGTAACTAACACGACTTTCTTTTATATATATAAATATAGTAACAATTTAAAATAATTTCTTGTAAGAGAACAATGAAATAAAGTATTAACTATAGTAGCAGCTCACGTATGTAAGACAAATGTACATAGGTACCTAATTATAATTTTAAAAGAAATCATATAATATTAACATTATCATAACAGAGCATTTTAATACTACACATAGATGTCTTCGTTAAGTATAAAACGCTGCATACGAATATTTCCAGGAGTTCCAGGAGTAATCTTCAATGGCGTACCAGACTTTCTATATGAGACGGAGGTGTTGAGACTTGACCGAGCCCTGTGGTTCAGTCCCGATGGACAGACGCTCATGTACGTCACCTACAATGACACCCTGGTACAACAACACAAATATCCATGGTATGGCTTGGACCAACAGGAACCACCCGCGTACCCTGCCATAAGGACCCTGAGATATCCGAAGGTAATTAAATTTTTCACCATCTCTATCAAACAAAAATATCTATATATATAAAGGAAAGTCGTGTCAGTTACACTATTTATAACTCAATAACGGGTACTCGGATTTAGCTGAAAATTTGTGTGGAAAGTGTCTAGAATTATTACACATAATGCATTTTTTTAAATAACTATAATAAAATAATATATATATATATTTTAATTTAACTCTGTGATATTTTAAAACTTTGAATTATATTGAAATGTTAAATTGTATTTTCTGTAATAATGTTATTAGTTATGTCAATGTTAGTGATTATTACGTAATGTTTTATTGAATTTATTATTATTGTTTTTTAATTTAAATCTTGGTTTACTACAATTATTATGTTTTGCATGATGTGATAGCCTATAACTGAAAGGACATTTATTATTAATAGTTTGATAATTAAATGAATGTAATAATGTTTTCTTTTGTTGGTTATCCAAACAAAATAAAATAAAAATAAATTAGGAGATAGACATAACATACTTTTCAACTCGTTGTACCAAAAATCTCCAATCTGTTTATTTACTGCCTCTAAATCGAAACGGTTCGCCTTGTCAGCTATAAATTTCTTATTTTGAAACTAACGCAGATAAAGTCGCTGGCAAAAGCTAGTCTTAATATAAATATGATTTATTTTCAAATACTTAAAGTGCTATATTTTTTGTTCTCAGATGAATACTAATAACCCAGCAGTGACGGTTTACGTGGTCAGTCTGAAGACTCCAAAGTTTTTATTCCCACATGCTATACAGTTTAACTCACCCTTCGACTCTGGTAAGATAAACTTTTAATTAAATTAATTTATAGTCTAGACTAACTATAGACTAGAGTCTAGACTACGCCTCATAACGCGTGCTATATTATTGTCATTCATTTCTTTACAAATGTTTATTTATCCTTACTTTTGTTCAATATTCCACCATATGTTATTGCGATTATGTTATAAATTTTAATAATACGTTCCAAAGTTCTTTAGAATAATCAAACTTTTCGTGAATACCATTTATAAAAAGTGGAAACAAAGATTTCTGAAAGTTTTTATTAAAAGTGTCAGAAGAATATATTCAATTCAGAGTTTGAAGATTTTGCTGACGGAATTGTTTTGTTCTCTTAATACTTCGTCGGAATGAAAAAACCTTATCACTTTTTTTACTATACACATATACAGGGTGACTGGTGAATTACTATCAATATTTAAGGAGAATACCCGGTACATGATTCTCATTCGAATTATGTAAAAAAAATAGGCACTTAATTTTTGACAAAATTTCCGTATAAATAAATAAAGTGTTGACACGTTCCAAGTGTTCAAGTGTGAACGCGTGCGGCGGCGTGCTGATACAACACTACGTCACGACACGCGTATGTGTGAGTGTCAGTGTATACCTAATCTGTAGGGTGTTCACACGATGCGTAATTAATTACATAACTTTTGGTTAACTTTACTTAGAAGTTTATTAATATTTATGTTATATTAATTTTTATTCTGTCATATATGATCGTCAAATATCACGTCCTCAAGTATTGATAGTAATTCACCAGTCACCCTGTATTTATGGATAGTTATATACATATAAGCTATGAATATTGGTTTCACTTTGTATCATTGATATGTTACTACTAGTAAAGTATTCTTAATTCAGATTTAGATAAACAGTTCATTATTTTACAGATTGGGTATAAAAGATTATTAGTTTGATTAAATCGCTCAATTACCGGAATTAAAATAACAAATCAGCAAATAACAAATTAGATATAAATCAAGAAATCTGATTAATTGAGCAAAAAGTTTGCAAGAAATAGAATGCAAAATTTCACAGAAACGCCGCGACCGTGACATTACATTAACTACGCATATACTTAACTACTATGATAAAATATTTTTTTAAATAATATATTTTAAATTATAATTAAAAATACATATATATTATGTACTATACATTACTTCAGTCCATACTTAATTTTATTAGGCTGGTATGTTCGCTGGACCAGTTGGATGTCTGAGCGTCAGGTAGCTGCTCTGCTCCTCAACAGACCTCAGAATCTATCTATCATCACCACCTGCAACGCTGTTACATACAACTGCCAGGATGTAAGTATTGTATTAAAGATTTATAAACATATGTTTAATAGCTTAGATTTTTATAAATTATCAGAGCCCATGGCAGAAATATGACCTACCATACAAGAAATGAAATACTGAAAATCAATTCATATTTACTGGAACGATTGTGATAATCGAACAAAACAATAGTTAGCGAGCGATAAGTTTATTAAAAGAGCTCAATCTATTCACACGATGTTTTTTTGAGGAAACAAACAAAAAATATTTAGCGCTTACATAAACAATCATACGGTTGAAAGGGAACCTTCTTCTTTTATACCTTAAAAATAGAAATACATGTCCAATTACATGTAATACAAAAATACATTTAATTTTCAGATCTATCGCGACGAGTCTGACGCTTCGCGATGGTCAGGTCTTGGGTCAGACCCGGAGGAGGAGTGCGGCTGGTGCGGGGGGGCGGCGCTGGTGGGGGGGAGGAGCGGCATCTTCACCTCCATACCTGTCACCGACCAGGGAGGAGTGTGGAGACACGCGATACATCTGACACAGGAGACGAGGACCACCATCACACAGGGGAACTTCGAAATAACACAGCTGATCGGATGGGATGAGAAACGAAGACTGCTGTATGTTTGTTCTCTAAATTAGTTTGTTCTTTCTTTTGTATTGGCAAAATTAACCCTTACCTTTTCTTGCAATAAAAGTAGGGTAGTATGTATATTAGATGGACTTAAACTAAGAAAGCAATCTAGACCAAAGAATGCATTCTATAAGCTAAGCATTGATACAAATTATAAATCCAATTAAAATATGCTGTATTGAAACAGACTTTACAAAAATATATGACTTCTGTACAGCACAAATCACTGAAACATTTAATAAACGACGACATACTTTTATCTACGAGAAATTCTTGGATTCTTACATATAATGAAACTGGTACTGATGGTTATCAGTGACGAAACATATGTATGAGATAAATTTTTAACGCAAATTAAAATTTTTAAATAATACATTGGAAAAAAATATTTGTTAGAAATTTATTTCGGGCTATTAGTATCAGAAAAAGCAGTGAATTTTTATTTCATATTTTGGTGAAATTCATGAAAAAGTTGCAATTTTTTTATATATATTCATAAGAAAATCACGAATTTATTTCAAGCATTTAGTCCGGAGGCGTAACATTATGTAAAATTTATGTTTAATGTATTGTATTTTAACATATCAAACACCTATTGGGACGTTTTATATAAGCATAGTTAGACAGCGTCTATTTTAATTATAATTATCTGGAACATATTCTCTTTTTCAGCTACGTGATCGGCACCGCCCCTGACAAAGCCGGTGAGCGTCACCTGTACCGCGTGACGGTGCCAGTGGACGGCTGGCCTCCTCCACCCGTCTGCCTCACCTGCCCTGGACGGATGATTGAAGCTACCGGCGAACCCAGCACGGAAGAACCGGTAACACAACAGATTTATATATATACTAGAAGACCCGGCGAACTTCGTATCGCCCTATAATCAAGAAATATCTGTTACGTTTTTAAATTTATATTTTTGGAGTTTACCAGTGAACCGAGCTCGGAGGAACCGGTAACTCAGCAGATTACATATACAGGGTGACTGGTGAATAAATAAAGTGTGTACACGTTCCAAGTGTTCCGAGTGTGGGCGCGTGCGGCGGCGTGCTGATACAACACTACGCCGCCGCCGCGTCTGTGTGAGTGTGTGTGTATACCTAATCTGTAGGGTGTTCATACGATGCGTATTTAATTACATAACTTTTGGTTAACTTTACTTAGAAGTTTATTAATATTTATGTTATATTAATTTTTATTCTGTCATATATGATCGTCAAATATCACGTCCTCAAGTATTGATAGTAATTCACCAGTCACTCTGTATATATACATATATATATAACTTCTCCCTTTGTCCATGCACCGTTGCTATTGCAGAAGGATGACTTTCGATGTATGATTTTACATAGCTTAGTACTGCAAAAAATAATTCTGCTTGAAGATAAGTCGATATACGAGAAGTATTAAGCAATATTAAAATGTTTTCCACAAAAGATTTTCAATGGAAATTAAATGTGGAAATTTAAAAAATCCTATACAGATTTTTCTTGCAAAAACTATGTATATTTTGAATGCCAGCAGACTTCTTATGTATACTCGACTCACATTTTATTACATAACCTGCTAATTTAGTTACGTGGAAATAGGTTGTTAGTAAATTTTATAATTGTTTTTCTAAAACAAACAGGAATACGACAACAGCACGTCATCATTACCCGCGTGGCCCACGTCCACAGTTCTACCCCACGTTGCCGACGAAAACGACTCGCTCCCCACCGCCTGCCTCTACAACAGAGTTATATTCAGCAAGAACTTCTCATACTACGTTCAGGTCAGAAAAATCGATGACGTTTTTTCTTATTATGAAACGATTGAAGCTAGTCTTAGTATCTCCGAATTATATAGGGTGGCAATCGGAGACAAAACTACCAAACATACTCATGTATATTTTAATCAAAATTACATATTAAAACTTATAAATTACACCTAAGACTACATGATTGCCCCGATGTTGGGATAGCAATACCCTTTCATAGCTTGCAGGATATCAGAAATCATCTGGCGTGGTGTTCGTTTCGTGGAGTCAGCAGCATCAATCGCTATAAGATATTTTATCCGTACAACGATGTCAGCTCGAGCTGTTCTTTTTTTTAAATGTAGCGCGTTATATCCGCTCTAAAACTTACATTATATAGTTGGAGCTACTTCTAACACAATATTTCCAATATATATTTTGTCTTCTGCTTTACTCATGAGAGCCCTATTCTGTCTTCAGGAGTGCCTCGGTCCAGAGCCCCCAGCTATATTCCTCTGTACGTCCGCGGGGTCCCGACGGGCCGTGCTCTGGGATGGAGCGCCGCTCAGACAAAAGTTCGCGACCCTCGCTTCACCACAAGCGAAAGTGTTCAGAGTTGAGGTGAGTTACTCTTTGTAGAAACAAACTAACTGGTGAATGATTTTATTTTTCTGTTATTGGACACATTACAAACATTTTCATAAGCACTGCAAAAGTAAGTATGAGTGTAGTTCAGGATATTTACCTCCTGTAATTGTATATTTATTTTGGTATTTTCTACACATTCTTACAGAATGACACAATAGAAATGTCTATCAAGTAGTCTTATTTCATCTCGTCAACATACTCGAAACCTATTACAGCTGGTTTGTGAAAAACTTAATTTTTGTAACCAGTTGAGTGCACGAAGTTATAGGAAACGGTATATTTAAAAAAATCATGAAAGATAGCACTAATATAGTATAGGAGACATTGGCAGAATTAGTGTGGCTTCAGCACAGGAGTCTTGAGAAGCTTTTATAAATAGTATTTTATTGTATAGATATCTGATTCATCAGAATAATGATGACATTACTACTACAGGTGCAAGCACAAAGATCAGCTCGTGTGAGGTTACTTCTGCCTCCGGGTCTGCGTGATACTGACGACCTGCCGCTACCACTAGTATTGCATTTGTGAGTTTATTTCATATATACATATCTCAAGAAAGCTATATATTAATATAAGGTTTTTCTTCTATTTAGAAAGATATAAAAATTCCAGCATTTATTGTATCAAGGAACTTTATTTTGCATTTTTTTGAACAATCTTATTTATTACCAACATTTTGTAAAGAAACAAATAGGTTAAAATATTTTAAACATCGTCTCATATAAAATCTTTTATTTATGTTTCATCCAGGTCTTCGGCCCCAGGGTCCCAGCTGGTGACAGAGCAGTGGGCGCCTCGTTGGGGCTGGTACCTCGCCGCCGCAAGGAACTTCATAGTCGCTGAAATAGACGCAAGAGGATCCGGCGGACAGGTGTAGTATATGATTGAAGATTAGATCTTATTAAAGACATCGAAATAGAAGCAATGAATTGAATGAAATTTTATATACAATTTTTACAAGAAACATTATTCTTATATTAACTAGTATATATATGTACATATATATCTTTCATGGTTATTTTAATCCTTAAAAGCATTATCTATCTTTATATTTAAAAGTCAGTTCAGTATTGCCAAAGCCTATTTAAAAAGAAATGCAAAACCATCTCTTACACTGTTTTGGTGATTTTATTTTTCTTTGTAATATCTATTTAAATAACAGAAGAAATTCTTTAACAGGGAGAGGAGTTACGAACAGAGATATACCAAAAACTGCTGTCAGTAGACATTGAAGACCAAATAGCTGTTTTATCGTAAGTACACTAAAATTTCAACAAGAGTAATGGAAACTATAATGTTAATGATGTTTCCTTACTGACTAATGGACTACTATGTTAGATCTTCTCACCTACGTTTTACTTTTTCGCTGTAAACTACACCTAACTTTACAGAATCCTTAATATTACATATTTTTCTAGAGAATACAGGTCCGTATACCTGTTTGTCTTAAACTGTAATATAAGTGATATGTATGTGAAAATAAACAAAAAAGTCATAAATGCCGTTTCCCTTGCCCTACCATTTCTTGTCCTTTAACATATGTAAGTAAAATCCATAAACTTAAACGTTTGGATTAACCACTTCCACTTAACGTCTACTTAACCGTTTGGTAATAACCATTTGACATATGATAACTTGTAATAATCTACAGAAAACCAATACAATAATATGACAAAGACAGTTTTAATACTCGATACCCTTCAATTGTAACCTGATTCAAGGAACGTTGTAGATGTATGTTTGTTTGTGTCAGCTACCTCCGTGACAACCTGAAGATGGTGGATGGCAGTCGTACTGGTGCGTGGGGGAGCGGGTATGGAGCGGCCGCGGCGCTGGCCCTGGCTGCTGGGGACGCGGCCAACCTCACCAGGTGCCTGGCCCTGCTGGCGCCCCTTGCTGACTTACGACACCACAGTGAGTTACACGATCATTTAAAACTACAGAAAATATTGGCTCCTTGCACCAAAATAATACAAAAATGACAACAACTCATCACATTTAGTGGATGGAGTAAATTGTACAGAAACTATTGCAATAGGACGTTATTGAGTCTCTGTACCAGAGACTTAAAGTGTTTTATATGTTTTTCTTGTAACGATTGTTCTATAAGCTCATACATACTTCAGGACATATGTGCCATTTTAATTCATGGTAAATATTGAAATCCTCTAAACTAGAATAGTAAGTTGAATCTGTTTGCCCCCCAGACTCGTTCTGGTCGGAGCGCTACGCGGGTGTGGGTGGTGGAGCGTCCCTAGGAGTGTGGCGTCGCGCGTCCTCGGTCCCTCCTCGGCGCGTGTTGCTCGCTCACGCCACCGCGGACGTGCGAGCTCCTCCGCCTCACGCCCTCGTTCTTGCACGAGCTCTCATACAAGCCAGGGCCGTGTACTCTCATCAGGTTAGACTCAAGTCCAAAGACTAGAAAAATTCCATCATAGACTTCAAAATAATGGATTAAAATGTCTCGATTGATTTCAATTATATGAAGTAGAGTAAATTTGCCAAATTGTATGAACAGATTTCTGGGAACGAAATCAGATAACGTATTATCGATCGTTATCGATATCGCATTATTAGAATCCACCATTAGGTCGCTTGGATCATGTTTCAGTTTATGAAAGTATTATTTTAAGGTCTTGTCCATATTAAATACAACACGACACAAAAACATCTAAAATAAAACGAATTGTACATCCAACTTAAAATATGTTCCGCCAAACACAACAAATGAAAATTAGAACTTGCCACCTTCCATACTGACCATATAGACAGATAAGAGATAGTAACCTTAACCAGCGCATGATGATTCATCTTCCAGGTGTATCCTGATGAGGGTCACTCCTTCGAGCGCTCATTCCTGCACGTGTACTCCTCCATGGAGCAGTTCTTCGACGAGTGTTTCGGTCCCGTGGAGCTCGCGGACTGGGACAACCCCGGGGGACTGTTCCCATTCAGGGATTGAAGCGACACAGAAGAAGTTGGGCAGGCTGCTACAGGCTTAGCCATCATTGGAATTATCAGACTGTTGAAACTAGAAAAGGTCGCCGGAGGGGCTCTCTTGTTATTATTTTCCCTTAATATTTTAATCCCACTCTTAAATCTTCTCTATTTACTCGTTAAGATCATTATTCCTTAACTTATAATTCTTCAAAATTTCGATGTTTGTAGAATCTACGCTATAAAATTTTGTTACTTTGGAAAACATAGCAAGCTTATACAAAGTGCTATATCCAAAACTAAAACGTCTGTAATAGTAGGAATATTTTTTTAGATGACGATTAGAATGAGTCGTAGTCTTATAAATAAACAGTACAGTTCATTTTTTGAACCTTGAAGAGTCGCCACAAACACCAGTGTCATTACGTCAAATAATTAATACTTCCAAAAGCTTCTTAGTGTAGTTATTTCTTCCTATCTCTCGTTTCTATTTGTCTCGTGAGTTTTTGAAATTTCTTAATAAATTAGACAATGAAGCGAATTTAAATTATTTAATAAAACACATTAATAATATAAGAAATAATAATTTTAATATTTTATTATAGTAACATCGATAACGAACTGCCAACCTCCGAATGATTATTTGATTTTAAACTAAATCGGTAGAAAATATACCGAAATAAAAACTATAGAAGTAATCGAAATGGTGCGTATAAATAATTGTGAATTGATATTCTATTAATGCATATTTATTAGTCGGTCTTAGAATGATATTCGAATTGTTTTGTATTACCTTGATGTATTATTTAAATAATAATTGTATTATGAAACAGTTCGTGAACTACCTTTAATATACTTCAAAAGGATTTTATTTTATCTGCGAGTTTCATTGAGTGCAAGGAGGTGTCATATTATTAATGTTATTTATTAGGGTTCACGAACCGTTTTCGGAGTTTTGCTCCTGTGGAATTTTCTTATGATTATTGTAAGGAATATAAATTCTATATTTTAGTGTAAAATCCATCTTTACCTATATTTATATGTCGCTTTGAATGTCATCGTAAAATTAGCTTTAATGTTTAGACAATGTTGTCCCGATGTTAATTGTTACTAGAGCAAAATATTTATATCCGTACATAGACCATTACTGAGTATTGCTAGTGAAAATGAATAAATGTGATTAATGTTTTTATTGAATTTTAAACTTTTGACATAGTGTCACATATTTTTATTTAAATTATAATAAATAAAGAAGTATTAAATACACTCATTCTTTTTGTGATATCATCTAGTCCAATGTATTTGTTTTTCAAATCCTTTTCAAATCCTTTCGTTCCATGTAGGAGGCTCGCCAGTCCCTCGCTCGTCTCCGCGGCCTGTCTTCTGATCATCCAGAACTAATCCACGCGGTCGCATCCTTACCACCGACTGAACAAGTACGGACTCCGCTTACACTCGCCTGACATATGTGTGAGTTATAAACTCACTTTGATTCTGATACAACTTTATTAGAAACAGACATAAACACAAACTTGAATTACCCAAGACCAGGACCAAATATGGAATTAAAACTATACAGTTTGAGGGAGCGAAACTATATAATGGCTTGCCTGACGAAGTGTTTGATGAAAAAACGTTTGCAATTTTTAGAAGGAAACTATTGGGTTATTGTAGGGAGCACTTGGATTAACCGCTCTTGAGTTGTATGGTTCGTTACTACTGTACTGAATTGTTGTTTGAACTGAATTATGTAATACATCTCAATCAAGTGAACATTGTTCTTTATGAGAACAAATAAAGTTTTTTAACCACAAACAGCTTTTCATTTACATAATATAGAGTTGTAATTTTTTTTCTCTACTTTTATTATCGTTTCTCCAACTTCAGGCACTCATTTAGAATTATTGATGCATCGAAGAAATTTTGGTCCACTTAATATTTATATATTATTACTTCTTTTACACGCCCTACATCGGAATCGCATTCTGAATCAATGCTTTGTGCTAACATTTACAAAGTCTAAATCAGAGATTCCAATCTTTTTCGAGCTTTATTTGATTTCTTTAACACACAAAGCCATAAAGACTTGTGTAAATTGCCTTCGAAATACCGAAGAGAATTGCTTTATTTATTCCTTATAAGACTTTTCGTCCTATTTGTTGGTGTTTTATTGTAACCTATTATTTAAGTTATAGCTTTTAAAAGTAAATACATTTTCGTCAAAGACTTTTCCGTGTCCCATAATTTACCGATGGTCTAATGAACTTAGTTAGCCAACTTCGGTATAACAATTATGTTATCAAAGTGAAAGTTTCTTGTTCCTTGTTTTATATGTATTATGATCGCTCTGTAATAGATGAGTTTGCAACTTCAGGGTATCCAAGGTAGAAAAGCCTAACTATCTACGATCGTACCGATATTAATGCATGTTTCAATTGATTGGTAGACCGAAACCTTGTTTATGAAGCTAACAATATATTATAATATATAGTAACAATTTAAAAAAATTCCTTGTAAGAGAACAATGAAATAAAGTATTAACTACAGTAGCAGCTCACGTACGTAAGACAAATGTACATAGATAACTAATTATAATTTAAAAGGAAATCATATAATATTAACATTATCATCAGAGCATTTTAATACTACTCATAGATGTCCTCATTAAGTATGAAACGCTGCAATCGTATATTTCCAGGAGTTCCAGGAGTAATCTTTAATGGCGTACCAGACTTTCTATATGAGACCGAGATGTTACAACTGGACCGAGCCCTGTGGTTCAGTCCCGATGGACAAACCCTCATGTACGTCATCTACAATGACACCCTGGTACAACAACACAAATATTCATGGTATGGCTTGGATCAACAAGAACCGCCTGCGTACCCTGCCATAAGGACCCTGAGATATCCGAAGGTAACTAAAGGTTGGAACACCTTTGTCGAACAAATATATATACATATGTATATATAAAGGAAAGTCGCGTTAGTTACACTATTTATAACTCAAGAACGGGTATACGAATTTGGCTGGAAATTTGTGAGAAAATAGCGTAGAATCAGGAGATAGACAGAGGATACTTTTAAACTCGTTCGACCAAAAAAAATAAATAAAATCCTAAATTGATTCATTTACTACCTATTAATCGAAACAGTTCGCCTTGTCAGCTATAAATTTCTTATTTTGAAACTAACGCAGATAAAGTCGCTGACAAAAGCTAGTTTTAATATAAATATGATTTATTTTCAAATATGTACTCGAAGTGCTACAATTATTTTTTGTTCGCAGATGAATACTAATAACCCAGCAGTGACGGTTTACGTGGTCAGTCTGAAGACTCCAAAGTTTTTATTCCCACATGCTATACAGTTTAACTCACCCTTTGACTCTGGTAAGATAAACTTTTAATTAAATTTATTTCTAGTCTAGTCTTACTATAGACTAGAGTCTAGACGCCACATAACGCGTGCTATATTATTGTCATTCATTTCTTTGCAAATGTTATATATCCTTACTTTTGTTCAAAATTCCACCATATGTTATTGAAATTATGTTATAAATTTTAATAATACGTTTTAAAGTTTTTTACAATAATCAAACTTTTCGTGAATACCGTTTACAAAAAGTGGAACCAAGATTTCTGAAAGTTTTTATTAAAAGTTTCAGAAGAATATATTCAATTCAGAGCTTGAAGATTTTGCTGACGGAATTGTTTTGTTCTCTTAACACTTTGTCGGAATGAAAAACCTTTTCTCGTTTTTTACTACACACATCCATTTATAGATAGTTACATAGAAGCTATGAATGTTGGTTTTCATTTTGTATCATTGATATGTAAGTACTATTAAAGCATTAAGATTTAGATAAACAGTACATAATTTTACAGATTGGGCATAAAGGATTATTAGATTGATTAAATCGCTCAATTACCGGAATTGTTAGAACCAAAGTTAAAGTAGCAAATAAGCATTTAACAAATTAATTATAAATCAAGACATCTGGATAATTTAACAAAACGTTTGAATAAATATAATTCAAATATTCATAGAAACGCCGCCACCGTAACATTACATTAACTACACATACACTCAACAACTGTGATAAAGCATTTGTTTTATATTATATTTCTAATAACATAGAAAATTCCATATAGTATGTATTATATTCTATACATTACTTAAAACTATATTTAATTTCTTTAGGCTGGTATATTCGTTGGACCAGTTGGGTGTCTGAGCGTCAGGTAGCTGCTCTGCTCCTCAACAGACCTCAGAATTTATCCATCATCACCACCTGCAACGCTGTTACATACAACTGCCAGGATGTGAGTATTGTATTAAAGATTTATAAACATATGTTTGATAGCTTAGATTTTTATAAATTATCAGGGCCCATGGCAGAAATATGACCTACCATACAAGAAATGAAATACTGAAAATCAATTCATATTTACTGGAACGATTGTGATAATCGAACAAAACAATAGTTAGCAAGCGATAAGTTTATTAAAAGAGCTCAATCTATTCACACGATGTTTTTTTGAGGAAACAAACAAAAAATATTTAGCGCTTACATAAACAATCATACGGTTGAAAGGGAACCTTCTTCTTTTATACCTTAAAAATAGAAATACATGTCCAATTACATGTAATACAAAAATACATTTAATTTTCAGATCTATCGCGACGAGTCTGACGCTTCGCGATGGTCAGGTCTTGGGTCAGACCCGGAGGAGGAGTGCGGCTGGTGCGGGGGGGCGGCGCTGGTGGGGGGGAGGAGTGGCATTTTCACCTCCATACCTGTCACCGACCAGGGAGGAGTGTGGAGACACGCGATACATCTGACACCTGAGACGAGGACCACCATCACACAGGGGAACTTCGAAATAACACAGCTGATCGGATGGGATGAGAAACGAAGACTGCTGTATGCTTGTTCTCTAAATTAGTTTGTTCTTTCTTTTGTATTGGCAAAATTAACCCTTACCTTTTCTTGCAATAAAAGTAGGGTAGTATGTATATTAGATGGACTTAAACTAAGAAAGCAATCTAGACCAAAGAATGCATTCTATAAGCTAAGCATTGATACAAATTATAAATCCAATTAAAATATGCTGTATTGAAACAGACTTTACAAAAATATATGACTTCTGTACAGCACAAATCACTGAAACATTTAATAAACGACGACATACTTTTATCTACGAGAAATTCTTGGATTCTTACATATAATGAAACTGGTACTGATGGTTATCAGTGACGAAACATATGTATGAGATAAATTTTTAACGCAAATTAAAATTTTTAAATAATACATTGGAAAAAAATATTTGTTAGAAATTTATTTCGGGCTCTTAGTATCAGAAAAAGCAGTGAATTTTTATTTCATATTTTGGTGAAATTCATGAAAAAGTTGCAATTTTTTTATATATATTCATAAGAAAATCACGAATTTATTTCAAGCATTTAGTCCGGAGGCGTAACATTATGTAAAATTTATGTTTAATGTATTGTATTTTAACATATCAAACACCTATTGGGACGTTTTATATAAGCATAGTTAGACAGCGTCTATTTTAATTATAATTATCTGGAACATATTCTCTTTTTCAGCTACGTGATCGGCACCGCCCCTGACAAAGCCGGTGAGCGTCACCTGTACCGCGTGTCGGTGCCAGTGGACGGCTGGCCTCCTCCACCCGTCTGCCTCACCTGCCCTGGACGGATGATTGAAGCTACCGGCGAACCCAGCACGGAAGAACCGGTAACACAACAGATTTATATATATACTAGAAGACCCGGCGAACTTCGTATCGCCCTATAATCAAGAAATATCTGTTACGTTTTTTTTATTTTTATTTTTGGAATTTACTTATTAAAGCCATAAATCTCCGTGGTTTGAAGTGCGACAGAATGATTGACATATTAGTTAGTTATCAAATTTTACGTCAAAAAAAAACATTTGTATCAACAACTATTAATAAATTAAAAATTAATTAAAAACATTGTCCAGCGGACAAAATTGTGAATCTAAACCATTCCCAGATCCCCTTGAACACACACAAAAAATTTCATCAAAATCAGTCCAGTCGTTTGAGAGACGTTCAGTGACATACAACTCACAGAAGAATTGGGTTTTTGATTTTTTTTTTTTTTTTTTGTGATAAATGGAAAGATCATATATAGGTTTTATATTAAAACTATTTTTATTTTTTTATTTTTTGCAATAATTAAAAAGTTATTTCAAAATAAAAATTAAATTTTAAATTCAGTACCGAAGATCCGCCGACAGCTCCCGAATAAACCCGAGCGCGTGTGACGTCACAATGTTAGTTTTCGCTCATTGTAGCATACAGAGATATAATAATTATTAATTAGTACAGTGTTTTGAGTTTTTATCTAGTAAATTCTGTTGGCATTGTTAAATAATCAAAAATGTCAAAACTCAAAACTTATCGCTCTTGTTTTGTACCATTATGTACAAATACTACAAAAACAACTCCTGAAAAAATGTTTTTAAATGTTCCACAAGACGAAAAACGTCGAAAGAAATGATTTCAAGCAGTGCACCGAGATTATTCAAAAACAAAATCAAATTTTTTTTGTTGTGAAGATCATTTGGATGTAAGTATTCATAATAATATTGTTATTAATTATTATTCATCTAAGTATATAAATCGAATAAGTATAGTTCAGTAATTAATTTTTTTACCTGGGCTCCAAATCATAACCTTTACAATCGTAGCATTAAAAAAAATTTATTTGATAATTCAAAGCGATTAAATAATAAATCTATATGTATGTTTGTCTAATAATTGGAATTCAATTAATAGATATTTTCATAATTTTATAACATTCTAGGTTCTGTATCAGACTACATTTAAATTTTTAAAGTATATGTTATTTTGGTTTTTTATAATGTTATAATAACATTTTATTAATTCTTATGATTAATGAAATAATTAATTATTAATTATATTTAATAGAGAATAAATACTTATTTTCATTTAGAATAGTATTTTTTAACAGACTTACCTTTGATGCCTTAGCACCTCGAACTTCAGCAGAATTAAACCGAACGTCATTTTTTTAAAAATTAGTTATCATAAATATATCAACATCAGGAATATTATCCGATTTTTATCAAGTCAAAGATAATAGCCAGAAACACTGTACTATTATGAAATTGCTTTAACATTATGACGTCACAAGTATGACGACCAATCATGGCGCGTTTACAGTCACTTGATTTTTTTTTTAATTTTATCAATTTTGAATTGTTATTAATTAATTTTAATTTTTTTTTTCAAGTTTTTTGCATTAAAAATCAATATAATTAATAATAAAGTTTTAAAATACATAAAAAAATCAATACTTTTTTTTTCCAAATCCCAATTATTTATATGAAGACTAGTAAACCCGGCGAACTCCGTTTCGCCATCAGAAGGCTTTTATATAATACTAGTTTTTGCCCGCGACTTCGTCCGCGTTAATTTCGTCATTCGTAATATAGGTATAGCTGACCGGGCGAACTCTATTCCGTCTTCAATAACCCGATATTGGTATTACTCTAAGATCCCGATATAAGGCGACCTTCACCGAGATGTTTATTTGATGAAACATATTTTATATTCAATTTAATATGTTAATAACTATATTACATATGGGTTGCCTCATAAATTTTAGTCCAGGATATGATTAATTAACAATTAAAAATAGATTTTTTTTTTTCAAATATTTCACCGGTTTGTTTATTAGATAAATTCCACACCAATCGAAAGTACGGAACCCATAGAATATGAAAACGTTAGGTTGCCTATTCTTTTCCAGTCACAACTCTCGGGTTGCCAGGGATAAACAGGTACATCGATAGTAGCATTTTATACTATCTACTATTTGTCAGTGCAACTGACAAGGATAGCGATAGACGTGTATATGCTGTGTATCATTTTGGAGTAATGTATTATTATTATATTAAAAATAGAAGAATAGTTCTTTAATATTGATTTAATTAATTATTTATGTGTATTTATTTAATGTGACATTAAAGTATATATATATATATATATATATGTATATATATATATATATATATATATATATATATATATATAGTAAATAAGAAGGTTATATCAATACATATGTAATACTAATTTAGAGTAATTTTTTTTATTCGAAAAAAAAAATGAAAAGCAATTAAAAATGAATATCTGTTTATTATAAAAAATTATAAATACATAAATATTTTTAAATTATTCAGCTTCTGAGTCATCGGACACGAAACTGAGATCTTCGACATCTGCACCTTCTTCTTCATCACTCTCTGTTTCGGTTCTTTCGACAATATCATTTATTCTTAAAGGTGTATGATCCCCAATGAATCCTCGTGGTTTTAAATATTCATCTAAGTACCATCCGCAGCTCTCAGGTTTAAGTTTGATGCATATTGGATCTGTTGCATTCAGCCACATTGAATTTACGAAAATAGTTTGTAAATTTTTTTGCGTTAATGATATCCAGCACGGAGGTATGGAGTTAGAGTCCAAGCCTTTGATTTTTTTTTGAAACTGCTCATTGTCTTCTTTAGCAGAGTAATTTTTCATAAAAATTCTTGGGACCTCTCAGTCGTACATATTCACTCGCGGCAATATTTTACTTTTTAAAATTCGACAACCCTATTTTAGGACCGATTTTTTGCAGGCAACCCTATTTCACTGTGTTCATAATTAAATAATCTTTATTTTCATTTAAATTTGATTAAATTATCAGACCGGTGCAAAATGCTACTATCGATGTACCTGTTTATCCCTGGCAACCCGAGAGTTGTGACTGGAAAAGAATAGGCAACCTAACGTTTTCATATTCTATGGGCTCCGTACTTTCGATTGGTGTGGAATTTATCTAATAAACAAACCGGTGAAATATTTGAAAAAAAATCTATTTTTAATTGTTAATTAATCATATCCTGGACTAAAATTTATGAGGCAACCCATATGTAATATATTTATTGACATATTAAATTGAATATAAAATATGTTTCATCAAATAAACATCTCGGTGAAGGTCGCTTATATCGGGATCCTCTACTATATTTATTAAATGTCTACTGTTTCAATCGAACAGAATGATTGACATATTAGTTAGTTGTCAAGTCTAATGTCAAAAAATCGTTTGTATGGGAAATAGAAAAGGGCTGTTTTTAGGGTTTTCCCGGCAATTTTTCAAATTTTTCTCACCTTTTAAACCTTCCCTGGACTTCCAGGAGTATTTCAAGACTAAAATTAGCCAAATCGGTTCAACCGTTCTCGAGTTTTAGCGAGACTAAGGAACAGCAATCCATTTTTATATATATAGAAGATTTCGTTTGGCGATTAAAAGATGAAGAATTTTTTTTTGTTTTATATTTGAAAAGGAAAATTTTTATTTCATTTCACAACAGTAATGAATTCATTTCGATTACATAAATGAAGTGTTATTTAGTTTAACTTTTCTAAGTAAATGAAAGTCAATCCAAAGTAGATACCGAATCGAAGCGTTATACGTGTCCGCAAATTATTATCCGTTTCATTGAAGTGGTCCTTTGTAAACCACATTTTTTGTTTTTTGGTCTAACTTTAACACAAATAAAGCAGATGGTTTCCAAACTCGGGAACACGCAAAATATAACGCCGATGTGAAAAACAATGATTTTTCTAAATTGATCCCGCAAATACTAAATGGTTTTAAGAGTTCAAATTACAAACTCAATACCGGTTTGTCACATAACAATTTAAAATATTGATATATAGTACACGTTATGTATGTTGGCGCTGTATGTGAAAAAAGAATTTCCCGCTTTTCTGTTGAAATTGGTTCGTTCTTTCTGAAGTTATAGCGTCAGGATGGAAAACCGGACTTATTTTTATATAGTAGACCTCTTACAAATATCTAATTGTCATCATTACGTCTTTACATATCTGTCATTATACGTCAATTGCATAGCTGTCAATTGTGTTTCGTTATTTCGCGTATTTATAGTGGCTGACGTTTCATGTCAAATCCCACGGGAATGCTGTCGAACGGGATCAAAAGTATCCTATTGCAATTTCCTGGCTCTAAACTACCTCCCTGCCAATTTTCAGCTAAATCGGTTCAGCCGTTCTTGAGTTATAAGTGGAGTAACTACGTGTTAGTTACTTTCTTTTATATATATACATAGATATATATTAATTGTCCCTTTGTCCATACACCACTGCTATGAGAAACGGATAGCTTTAGATGTAAGAATTTTATTGCTCAGTAAGACAAAAATAAATTCTGCCTGAAGATAGGTCGATATACGAGAAATATACTAGTCAAAATAAAATAAGGGCCACCATGTTTTTTTAGTAGATTAAAAGAAATATGGGATTTAGGGATATGAAAATGATTAGATTAAATTATTTAATCAATTTTTAATGTAAAGAGCAGCAGATATTGTTTTATTACTCTAAAATTAACATCCCTTTCTTTTTTTTTTGGAAAAATCGACTTTTAACCTAAAATGCACAATATGAAAAAAGTGTCTAATTTAAAAAAAACTGAACATTTGTTGAAATTTTTATTTTTTTCAGTAACGTGTGTGTCCTCCCCTTTTTCGAACACATTCTTCAAGCCTCGAAGGCATACTCTCCACCAGGTGTCGTATTGTCTCCAGAGGGATTTGTTCCCAGCTTGTCTTTAGCACGTTGATGAGCTGTCGTTCGTTAGTTACCGGTTGATTTGTGTCACGAACGTTTTTTTTTAATAAATCCCACATGCGCTTAATAGGGTTAAGGTCCGGGCTATTGGAGGGCCACGGAAGCACCTGTACACCAGCTTCTTCTAGTGCTTCGGCAGTAGCTCTTACTGTATGAGCGCGGGCATTGTCATGCATTAATTGGAATCCTGCACCAATTCTCTATGAAAATGACACCACGTGGAGTCTTATGACCTGCTCAATGTACCGTTGAGCCGTTACCGTGCCTTCGTTGAGAATTACGAACTCAATTCGACCTGATAGTGAGATTCCGCCCCACACCATTACGTTGGGAACCCCGAATCTGTAACTTTCGTGGATGCAGCATCCGAAAATCGCTTTCCTTCTCTTCTCCAAACGTTAGTTAGTTAGTTACGTGGAAACAGGTTGTTAGTTAATTTTATAATTGTTTTTCTAAAACAAACAGGAATACAACAACAGCACGTCATCATTACCCGCGTGGCCTACGTCCACAGTCCTACCCCACGTTGCCGACGAAAACGACTCGCTTCCCACCGCCTGCCTCTACAACAGAGTTATATTCAGCAAGAATTTCTAATACTACGTTCAGGTTAGAAAAAAAGGTGACGTTTTTTCCTATTATGAAACAATTGAAGCTAGTCTTAGTGTATCTCCGAATTATATAGGGTGGCAACCGGAGCCAAAACTACCAAACATACTTATATGTATATTATAATCAGAATTACATATTAAAACTTATAAATTACATATAAGACTACATGATTGCCCCAATGTTGGGATAGCAATACCATTTCATAGTTTGTGGCTTCAAGTATCTTCTGATTCACACGGCTTTATGTTTGTTCTGCGGAGTCAGCAGCGTCACTCCTTATATGATATTTTATCCGTACAACGATGTCACCTCGAGATGTTCTTTTTTTTCTCTATTCTGTCTTCAGGAGTGCCTCGGTCCGGAGCCCCCAGCTATATTCCTCTGTACGTCAGCGGGGTCCCGCCGGGCCGTGCTCTGGGATGGTGCGCCGCTCAGACAAAAGTTCGCGGCCCTCGCTTCACCGCAAGCGAAAGTGTTCAGAGTTGAGGTGAGTTACTCTTTGTAGAAACAACCTAACTGGTGATAGCTTTTATCTTTCTGATAATGGACACATTACCAAAAATTTTCACAAAAACTGCAAAAATAAACTAGCATGTATTTCTAAATATTTATAGCTTATAATTGTCTATTTATATTGTTATTTACTACGCGTTAAAACAGAATGGCGCCATACAAATGTCTATCATGTAGTCTTATTTCATTTCGTCAACATACTCAAAACTACATAATTACAGCTGGCTTGTGGAAAACTTAATACGAAGTTATAGGAAACTGTATATTTAAAAAATTAATGAAAAAATGCCATATATATGTATAAATACCACAATTAGTGTGGCTTCAGCATACAGCATACATAGCAACTATACTTGATAAGCTTTTGTAAATAGTATTGTAGAGATGTCTCGTTCATCAAAGTAAATCATGACATTACTACTACAGGTGCAAGCACAAAGATCAGCTCGTGTGAGGTTACTTCTGCCTCCGGGTCTGCGTGATACTGACGACCTGCCGCTACCACTAGTATTGCATTTGTGAGTATATTTCATACATACATATCTCAAAAAAGCTATATATTAATATAAGGTTTTTCTTCTATTTCTATTTAGAAAGATATCAAAATTCCAGCATTAATTGTATCGAGGAACTTAATTTTGCATTTTTTAGAACAATCTTATGGATAACCAACATTTTGTGAAGAAACAAATAGGTAAAAATATTTTAAACATCGTCTCATATAAAATCTTTTATTTATGTTTCAACCAGGTCCTCGGCTCCAGGGTCCCAGCTGGTGACAGAGCAGTGGGCGCCTCGTTGGGGCTGGTACCTCGCCGCCGCAAGGAACTTCATAGTCGCTGAAATAAACGCGAGAGGATCCGGCGGACAGGTATAGTATATGATTGAAGATTACATCTTATTAAAGACAGGGAAATAGAAGCAATGAATTGAATGAAAATTTATATACAATTTTTACAAGAAACATTATTCTTATATTAACTAGTATACAGGGTGACTGGTGAATTACTATCAATATTTAAGGAGAATACTCGGTACATGATTTTCATTCGAATTATGTATAAAAAATAGGTACTTAATTTTTGACCAAATTTCCGTATAAATAAATAAAGTGTAGACACGTTCCAAGTGTTCCAAGTGTGGACGCGTGCGGCTGCGTGCTGATACAAAATCACGCAGCCGCACGCGTGTGTGTGTGTGTGTGTATACCTAATCTGTAGGGTGTTCACACGATGCGTAATTAATTACATAACTTTTGGTTAACTTTACTTAGAAGTTTATTAATATTTATGTTATATTAATTTTTATTTTGTCATATATGATCGTCAAATATTACGTCCTTAAGTATCGATAGTAATTCACCAGTCACCTTGTATATGTACATATATATCTTTCATGGTTATTTAAATCCTTAAAAGCATTATCTATCTTTATATATCAAAGTCAGTTCAGTATTGCCAAAGCCTATTTAAAAAGAAATGCAAAACCATCTCTTATACTGTTTTGGTGATTTTATTTTGCTTTGTTATATCAATTTAAATAACAGAAGAAATTCTTTAACAGGGAGGGGAGTTACGAACAGAGATATACCAAAAACTGCTGTCAGTAGACGTTGAAGACCAAATAGCTGTTTTATCGTAAGTACACAAAACTTTCAACAAGAATAATGGAAACTAGTATAATGTTAATGATGTTTCCTTACTGACTAATGGACTACTATGTTAGATCTTCTCACCTACGTTTTACTTTTTTGCTGTAAACTACACCTAACTTTACAGAATCCTTAATATAACATATTTTTCTAGAGAATACAGGTCCGTATACCTGTTTGTCTTAAACTGTAATATCAGCGATATGTATGTGAAAATAAACAAAAAAGTCATAAATGCCGTTTCTCATGCCCTACCATTTCTTTTCCTTTAACATATGTCAGTAAAGTCCATAAACTTAAGCGTTTGGATTGATTAACCACTTCCACTTAACGTCTACTTAACCGTTTGGTAATAACCATTTGACATATGATAACTTGTAATAATCTACAGAAAACCAATACAATAATATGACAAAGACAGTTTTAATACTCGATACCCTTCAATTGTAGCCTGATTCAAGGAACGTTGTAGATGTATGTTTGTTTGTGTCAGCTACCTCCGTGACAACCTGAAGATGGTGGATGGCAGTCGTACTGGTGCGTGGGGGAGCGGGTATGGAGCGGCCGCGGCGCTGGCCTTGGCTGCTGGGGACGCGGCCAACCTCACCAGGTGCCTGGCCCTGCTGGCGCCCCTTGCTGACTTACGACACCACAGTGAGTTACACGATCATTTAAAACTACAGAAAATATTGGCTCCTTGCACCAAAATAATACAAAAATGACAACAACTCATCACATTTAGTGGATGGAGTAAATTGTACAGAAACTATTGCAATAGGACGTTATTGAGTCTCTGTACCAGAGACTTAAAGTGTTTTTATATGTTTTTCTTGTAACGATTGTTCTATAAGCTCATACATACTTCAGAATACATGTGCCATTTTTGTTCATGATAAATATTGAAATTCTCTAAACTAGAATAGTAAGTTGAGTCTGTTTGCCCCACAGACTCGTTCTGGTCGGAGAGCTACGAGGGTGTGGGTGGTGGAGCGTCCCTAGGAGTGTGGCGCCGCGTGTCCTCGGTCCCTCCTCGGCGCGTGTTGCTCGCTCACGCCACCGCGGACGTGCGAGCTAAAACGAGAGTAAATTTGCCAAATTTTATGAACAGATTTCTGGGAACGAAATCAGATAACGTATTATCGATCCTTATCGATATGAAATTATTAGAATCCACCATTAGGTCGCTTGGATCATGTTTCAGTTTATGAAAGTATTATTTTAAGGTCTTGTCCATATTAAATACAACACGACACAAAAACAACTAAAATAAAATGAATTGTACATCCAACTTAAACTATGTTCCCCTCAACATAACAAATGAAAGTCCGAACTCAATACTGACTTCAAATAGAGACAGAACAGATAGTAATCTTAACCAGCCCATAATGATTCATCTTCCAGGTGTATCCTGATGAGGGTCACTCCTTCGAGCGCTCATTCCTGCACGTGTACTCCTCCATGGAGCAGTTCTTCGACGAGTGTTTCGGTCCCGTGGAGCTCGCGGACTGGGACAACCCCGGGGGACTGTTCCCATTCAGGGATTGAAGCGACACAGAAGAAGTTGGGCAGGCTGCTACAGGCTTAGCCATCATTGGAATTATCAGACGGTTGAAACTAGAAAAGGTCGCCGGAGGGGCTCTCTTGTTATTATTTTCCCTTAATATTTTAATCCCACTCTTAAATCTTCTCTATTTACTCGTTAAGATCATTCCTTAACTTATAATTCTTCAAAATTTCGATGTTTGTAGAATCTACGCTATAAAATTTTGTTACTTTGGAAAACATTGCAAGCTTATACAAAGTGCTATATCCAAAACTAAAACGTCTGTAATATGTAGTAGGAATATTTTTTAGATGACGATTAGAATGAGTCGTAGTCTTATAAATAAACAGTACAGTTCATTTTTTGAACCTTGAACAGTCGCCACAAACACCAGTGTCATTACGTCAAATAATTAATATTTCCAAAAGCTTCTTAATGTAGTTATTTCTTCCTATCTCTAGTTTCTATTTGTCTCGTGAGTTTTTGAAATTCCTTAATAAATTAGACAATGAAGCGAATTTAAATTATTTAATAAAACATATTAATAATATAAGAAATAATAATTTTAATATTTTATTATAGTAACATCGATAACGAACTGCCAACCTCCGAAAGATTATTTGATTTTAAACTAAATCGGTAGAAAATATACCGAAATAAAAACTATAGAAGTAATCGAAATGGTGCGTATAAATAATTGTGAATTGATATTCTATTAAAGCCTAATGTATATTTATTTGTCGGTTTTGAATGATATTCGAATTGTTTCGCATTACCTTGATGTATGTATTATTAAAATAATAATTGTATTATGAAACAGTTCGTGAACTACCTTAAATATACTTTAAAAAGATTTTATTTCATCTGCGAGTATTATTAGGGTTCACGAACCGTTTTCGGAGTTTTGCTCCTGTGGAATTTTCTTATGATTATTGTAAGGAATATAAATTCTATATTTTAGTGTAAAATCCATCTTTACCTATATTTATATGTCGCTTTGAATGTCATCGTAAAATTAGCTTTTGCGTATGTTTAGACAATGTTGTCCCGATGTTAAGTGTTACTAGAGCAAAATATTTATATCCGTACATAGACCATTACTGAGTATTACTAGTGAAAATGAATAAATGTGATTAATGTTTTTATTGAATTTTAAACTTTTGACATAGTGTCACATATTTTTATTTAATGTATAATAAATAAAGAAGTATTATATACACTCATTGTTTTTGTGATATCAGCTAGTCCAATGTATTTGTTTTTCAAATCCTTTCGTTCCATGTAGGAGGCTCGCCAGTCCCTCGCTCGTCTCCGCGGCCTGTCTTCTGATCATCCAGAACTAATCCACGCGGTCGCATCCTTACCACCGACTGAACAAGTACGGACTCCGCTTACACTCGCCCGACATATGTGTGAGTTATAAACTCACTTTGATTCTGATACAACTTTATTAGAAACAGACATAAACACAAACTTGAATTACCCAAGACCAGGACCAAATATGGAATTAAAACTATACAGTTTGAGGGAGCGAAACTATATAATGGCTTGCCTAACGAAGTGTTTGATGAAAAAACGTTTGCAATTTTTAGAAGGAAACTATTGGGTTATTGTAGGGAGCACTTGGATTAACCGCTCTTGAGTTGTATGGTTCGTTACTACTGTACTGAATTGTTGTTTGAACTGAATTATGTAATACATCTAAATCAAGTGAACATTGTTCTTTATGAGAACAAATAAAGTTTTTTAACCACAAACAGCTTTTCATTTACATAATATAGAGTTGTAATTTTTTTTCTCTACTTTTATTATCGTTTCTCCAACTTCAGGCACTCATTTAGAATTATTGATGCATCGAAGAAATTTTGGTCCACTTAATATTTATATATTATTACTTCTTTTACACGCCCTACATCGGAATCGCATTCTGAATCAATGCTTTGTGCTAACATTTACAAATTCTAAATCAGAGATTCCAATCTTTTTCGAGCTTTATTTGATTTCTTTAACACACAAAGCCATAAAGACTTGTGTAAATTGCCTTCGAAATACCGAAGAGAATTGCTTTATTTATTCCTTATAAGACTTTTCGTCCTATTTGTTGGTGTTTTATTGTAACCTATTATTTAAGTTATAGCTTTTAAAAGTAAATACATTTTCGTCAAAGACTTTTCCGTGTCCCATAATTTACCGATGCAATGGTCTAATGAACTTAGTTAGCCAACTTCGGTATAACAATTATGTTATCAAAGTGAAAGTTTCTTGTTCCTTGTTTTATATGTATTATGATCGCTCTGTAATAGATGAGTTTGCAACTTCAGGGTATCCAAGGTAGAAAAGCCTAACTATCTACGATCGTACCGATATTAATGCATGTTTCAATTGATTGGTAGACCGAAACCTTGCTTATGAAGCTAACAATATATTATATATAGTAACAATTTAAAATAATTTCTTGTAAGAAGTTTATCTGTTCACGGTAATCTCAGAAACGGCTAATCCGAGTTGGATGCGGTTTTCACGAATATATTGTTGGATGCTTCAGTTATGCTTTAGTGTTTGTTTCATGTCAATCGGTTCATAAATAAAAAAGTTATGTCAAATTAAAGAATCACGTCGAACACTATTCTATGCTTATACATACAAAGCCACCATTAATCTCCGCAATGTTATATAAAAGCCTTCTGGTGGCGAAACGGAGTTCGCCGGGTTTAGTAGTATTGAATATTTTTGTGTTGTACGACGCGGGGTGTCGCTAATGTCTGGTCGTCATGGTGACCAGTCAAACAACACGAGCCAGTCGATAGAAAAGAATATAGCTTCGGTGCTAATTACCTGCAAAGTCTATTATAAATTGTTTGTTTAATTAAGCTGTGATAATCGGCAGGAGTGATGTAGGACGAAGGAAATAAGTCAAGTGTGATCGAGCAGGTGAGATTGGATTGGGTTATTGAGGTTTGTTGAAAAAGGTCTGTTAATGTAATGTGTTGCGTCAATGATTATAGAAAACTAGATGGATGTACCACGTGCTATATATCATGTATCGCTCAGACCATTTCTTGATTAAAACAAAACAAATATCAACAAAATTGTACAACTATGATAGTGAGCCTTTTCTGTACGTAAATAATAATACAGGGTGACTGGTGAATTACTATCGATATTTGAGGACGTGATATTTGACGACCATATATGACCAAATAAAAATTAATATAACATAAATATTAATAAACTTCTAAGTAAAGTTAACCAAAAGTTGTGTAATTAATTACGCATCGTATGAACACCCTACAGATTAGGTATACACACACACTCACACAGACGCGGCGGCGGCGTAGTGTTGTATCAGCACGCCGCCGCACGCGTCCACACTTGGAACACTTGGAACGTGTACTCACTTTATTTATTTATACGGAAATTTGGTCAAAAATTAAGTACCTATTTTTTTTACATAATTGGAATGAGAATCACGTACCGAGTATGATCCTTAAATATTGATAGTAATTCACCAGTCACCCTGTATAACTATGAGAAAAAATAATTTAAGGTATAGATCCAGGTAAATTAAGTAATTTTTTTTCAATTAGTAAACGATTTAGCTGTATTCTATAGTAGTTTTATATATTTTGTAAAATTCCAATTAAAGGAGATCGAAAGTATTGTATACAATTTTGGGCCCTCAATGAAAAGACATGAAAATAGTATTAATTAAAAGGTTCAAAATTAAGGGTTATTTCATTGAAAATTCTATAGAAATTGACAATCAGCTAGCTGAGTTATTGGAGGTTTAGTAAAAGTGAGGTTATGTCGCATTATCTTTAAGAGTTAGATGAATATATATACTTAAAAGTATGTGAAAAATAATTATTTTATTTAGAACAGAATATCTGATAAGTTATATATAACAAGGCAAGAAAGACTCAAAGACATACAGATATCAGTAACAAGTATGGAATTTTACGAGGAACAGGAGGAGTGAACTATGTGATAAAACTCATAAAATAAAACAAATAATTTTATTGGAATATTCTATTCCCCTTCAATAATAATTAAAATATCGTCTAGGAACTGTGCAGGGGGTAGAATGTTACTAGTTGCTATCCCACAATTCACACAGCGATCCATAGTTTCAGTATTATCCAAACCACAAGCTGGCGAAATAATACAAATTAACATTTCTAATTCAAACGTGCAGGCGATCGTCGGTGTCCAATGTGAAAGCAAGGGTCGTAAAACGTAGGCGGGCTCGGAGTTCTGAAACAAAGCAATGGTCGTTGAAAACGTAAAAGCATCGAAAAACACGAAACAAGTCAGACTCAGATAACAATGCATCTGGCATGGTAATTGTCAAGTGTCAATGTCATGTTGCCATAGACTATATACTGAATGATTTCGATCGATATGGAATCGATAATCGAAAAAGATGTTTTAAAATAATATTTAATATGATTATTATATTAATACACGTTATTAAAAGTTATTTTAATTGAATTGTAGACATATATGGTGTAGTTTAAATAAAGTTACTATAAGTTTAAAACTAGGAGTGGAATTTTTATTTTGTAATTAATAAATAAATTAGTAAATAATCGAATAATCATTTTTTATTTAATTAAACTTTAATCGATTGCTTCATAAAAATAGTTATATGCATATTTCTCCGCTTGTAGATTGAGAATTTATGCAGATTTTTGGTATTTCATACAAAAAAAATTACGCCATGATATTTATTTAACTCAAAAAATAACTCCCTTGTGGCATGAATGTCATGTATCCAATTTTTAATGGATGGTACCACACTAAAAATTTTTATACCATTTTTATTTACTTCAAATCTCATTGAGTTTAATACAGGTAATGTTTCATCCCACAGTTTGAAAAGTCTCGACAATTCTCCAATTCGTTTTCAATGCACTCCTATATAATTGAGCATCTTCCTGATAACTATGACCATTGAATGAGTGAAAGAGTTTATCTACAAGAAGCAGCAGGTCAGCTGTGGCGACACACTCTTTTGGCAAAATATTATGATCTGGAAATAAAAAATATATTAAAATTATTTTTAGACATAGGCCTTATCATTAGATAGATACATCGATAAACTTCTTTATTGCATACAAGTTGAGAATTAATAAAAGCAAAAGACAATAAAAAACAAGTATGCAAAGGAGACCTTAAGACTTATAGTGATCTCTTACAGACAACCTCAGGAGTAAAAAGCTGTTATATTAATAATATATTAAGTGCATAGAAAGTTTATGTCACCATAAGAATAGGTAAAACTTACTACTACTATGAAAAGAATATATACTAACTTGCTAAGAACCGCATAGCTGCTTATACTCTCTGGCTGAACACTTGGGCCGCATATTTCACTTTCATTTTAAGTAATTTATCTTTATATATACATATGTGGTTTTGTTATTTATTTAATAAGCGTATATCACTATCTCCAACGTCAACCTGTAACAGCATATGCTAATGACTCCATTTTGCTATTTTAATGTCTTGATTTTGTTGAAATAATTTTATAATTTAAAGGTAAATATACCAATCATAAGTAATTTTAAGCTTAGTTATATGCCCATAACTTACCTTTAGGAAATAATTGAGAGGAATTAGGAGAACTCCTTTGTAGCTGAACTTGGTTCATATTTAAATCAAAGTTGTGACTACAAGATGCATTATTGTCTTCTTTTTGTGTATCAACGCATTTTTCAGTTTCAACAGAATGTGATGAGTGTACAGTCTCAAATGTTGATGCTGCTAAATGAAATATTTTTTTAAATACAAATTAATATATTAAAAGAAAAGTTAAATTAAAAATCTTAAAATTGAATGATAACATATTGTCTTGATTGTATCTTCCTTCCTCGTTTCTTTTAGAGTTTCTGATTGAATGTAAATAGACTTGTAATTTTTACTGAATTAAACACTGCCATTCTTATATTACATAAACTATAAACAACTTTTTTTGGTTTGTAGTTATCCAGTGACATTATAATCTCTACATATTTAGAACACTTTGTTTTTGTTTTACTTATGTAAAGAAGTGACACAAGTAGTTATTTTGCAATACTGTTTGTAGGCACTTTCCTTCATTTAGATAAAAAAGTTAATAAAGATCGCACATTACATACCTATTTCATTATATTCAATTATATCTATTTTTTTTGTTTTTAATTATTAGCACCAATTTCTAAAGTTAAATAATAATAAAGTAAAATATTATCTATAGTTATAAAATACAATTGCTTATTTATATATCTTTATATTAGTAGTATGTATTGTGTGCCTATAACTACTTGGGAAGTTGCTTACTTTAGATACTTACTTAAGTATAGAGTTGGTACAGTATTTTGAGTGAACTGTTTACTTAAAGAACAGTAAAACTGTTCAAAATGTAAGAATCTTCCTTCTGTTTCATGTCTTCATTTAAAATATTTTTCCATTGAATGAATTTCTCCAAATTTGGGTATTCAGGTTTAGGAAATTGATGAAAAGGACCTGAAATGTTTTTATTAGAAGTCAATAAACTGTTACGATTGAAATTGATGTAACAAGAGTAGTAATTGATTGTATATATGACAAATAATAATTTTATAGATTTTACTAAATAAGTATCGTACCATTATTCGCACACTGAAAGTAACACTTAATAGCCGATTTTCGTGGCATTTTTTAACTTATCGATAATCCGAATTCGTAGTTTGCAATCAAAATCTAAATGAGAAGAGCCGGGGTCGATCGTAGTCGCAGAAAACAAAGTAAAATTGAGAAAAGCCGGGGTTGATCCTCAAAAGCGTGGAAATAGGAATCAATGATATATTATACCGGGTCAAATGTTTGAAAAAGTACGTACAGCACAATAACAACAGTAAACAACGGCGAATGAGAAACTGAAATAATTTAAAATTTGTCCTAATGTCAAATCAATTTGAGAGCTACTTACGCCATCTATAAAGTTACAGAGGAAAATAGTGTCAAAGTTGTTGTGCCTCGTTCTTTAGATGGCAGCATTTTTAAACGGTTTTTCTATACATTATTTTCTTACACGTTAATCATTATGATTTATGTGACAGTTTCATCCCCATGGGCTCTATAGCAGTTAGCAGCGGCCGATCGAAAATGTTTCGTTTTTATATTGATAGATAGCACTTATTAAAAAATCGTGAATCAAATGTATTTTAAATGTCTGTAAACATTTATATTTTACTAGTTTTTGCCCGCGACTTCGTCCGCGTTAATTTCGTCATTCGTAATATAGGTATAGCTGACCGGGCGAACTCTATTCCGTCTTCAATAACCCGATATTGGTATTACTCTAAGATCCCGATATAAGGCGACCTTCACCGAGATGTTTATTTGATGAAACATATTTTATATTCAATTTAATATGTTAATAACTATATTACATATGGGTTGCCTCATAAATTTTAGTCCAGGATATGATTAATTAACAATTAAAAATAGATTTTTTTTCAAATATTTCACCGGTTTGTTTATTAGATAAATTCCACACCAATCGAAAGTACGGAACCCATAGAATATGAAAACGTTAGGTTGCCTATTCTTTTCCAGTCACAACTCTCGGGTTGCCAGGGATAAACAGGTACATCGATAGTAGCATTTTATACTATCTACTATTTGTCAGTGCAACTGACAAGGATAGCGATAGACGTGTATATGCTGTGTATCATTTTGGAGTAATGTATTATTATTATATTAAAAATAGAAGAATAGTTCTTTAATATTGATTTAATTAATTATTTATGTGTATTTATTTAATGTGACATTAAAGTATATATATATATATATGTATATATATATATATATATATATATATATATAGTAAATAAGAAGGTTATATCAATACATATGTAATACTAATTTAGAGTAATTTTTTTTATTCGAAAAAAAAAATGAAAAGCAATTAAAAATGAATATCTGTTTATTATAAAAAATTATAAATACATAAATATTTTTAAATTATTCAGCTTCTGAGTCATCGGACACGAAACTGAGATCTTCGACATCTGCACCTTCTTCTTCATCACTCTCTGTTTCGGTTCTTTCGACAATATCATTTATTCTTAAAGGTGTATGATCCCCAATGAATCCTCGTGGTTTTAAATATTCATCTAAGTACCATCCGCAGCTCTCAGGTTTAAGTTTGATGCATATTGGATCTGTTGCATTCAGCCACATTGAATTTACGAAAATAGTTTGTAAATTTTTTTGCGTTAATGATATCCAGCACGGAGGTATGGAGTTAGAGTCCAAGCCTTTGATTTTTTTTTGAAACTGCTCATTGTCTTCTTTAGCAGAGTAATTTTTCATAAAAATTCTTGGGACCTCTCAGTCGTACATATTCACTCGCGGCAATATTTTACTTTTTAAAATTCGACAACCCTATTTTAGGACCGATTTTTTGCAGGCAACCCTATTTCACTGTGTTCATAATTAAATAATCTTTATTTTCATTTAAATTTGATTAAATTATCAGACCGGTGCAAAATGCTACTATCGATGTACCTGTTTATCCCTGGCAACCCGAGAGTTGTGACTGGAAAAGAATAGGCAACCTAACGTTTTCATATTCTATGGGCTCCGTACTTTCGATTGGTGTGGAATTTATCTAATAAACAAACCGGTGAAATATTTGAAAAAAAATCTATTTTTAATTGTTAATTAATCATATCCTGGACTAAAATTTATGAGGCAACCCATATGTAATATATTTATTGACATATTAAATTGAATATAAAATATGTTTCATCAAATAAACATCTCGGTGAAGGTCGCTTATATCGGGATCCTCTACTATATTTATTAAATGTCTACTGTTTCAATCGAACAGAATGATTGACATATTAGTTAGTTGTCAAGTCTAATGTCAAAAAATCGTTTGTATGGGAAATAGAAAAGGGCTGTTTTTAGGGTTTTCCCGGCAATTTTTCAAATTTTTCTCACCTTTTAAACCTTCCCTGGACTTCCAGGAGTATTTCAAGACTAAAATTAGCCAAATCGGTTCAACCGTTCTCGAGTTTTAGCGAGACTAAGGAACAGCAATCCATTTTTATATATATAGAAGATAATGTATGACTAAAAGTATGTAAGTAAGAATTAAACAATGTAGGTTTAGTTGTTATATACAGTGCTTATTTGCATCTATGGTGAGCACGCCACTGGCCTCATCTTCATTTAGATATAATCAAATAGAAGTCGAAAGTAGACTGGAAGTAATATTTCCAGCCTCGAGGTACGTTAGGCCTCGGCCTCGAATTTTGCGGGCAGCGGAGCGGCGGCGGGAGCGGCAGGATCTTACGCGTATAATCAAATGGACCGACCCTCGAATACAGCGGTGCCCGCTGCCCGCTAGTTTGGAGAATAGTATGCGTTGCCCGTGCCGCCGCCGCCGCCGCTCCGCTGCCCGCAAAATTCGAGGCCTCGGCCTTAAGGTGCGTGTTAGTCGTGATGTCTATAGTCCGTGTTTCAGGTGGAGGTATATCTTTCCGTGCGTGGGACGTGTCGGGCGCGGCTCGTCTCCGTTCCCTCTGGGAGCGTCACTACCGACACTGTGACGCGGTCATCTTCGTGGTGGACTCTGCGGATCATCTGCGACTCGGTGGGCTCCTATCAAACGCTTTGTTGATACGTCGTGTTGTATATGATTGTGAGTATGTGTGTTCGTGTCAGTGGTGGCGCGGTCAGAGCTGGAGCTCATGCTGTCTCACCCGGACATGTCTGGTCGTCGTCTGCCGCTGCTCGTGCTCGCCAACAAGAGTGACGCTCCTCACGCGCTCTCCGCACCACACGTCGCCTCAGGTACATAATATATACCTGCTATTTAAAAGTTACAATTAACATGAGACATTGTCTGAATGGAGAAATGTTGAGTTTTTTTGGGTAATATTGGTTGACAAAATATATTTTTAAAATGCTTTGAGTTGTAGGTTCGTCTTTTGTGGACATAAGCAGAATGTTTTTTAGATAAATAAATGTTTGAGCATAATGACATCTTAAAATGAATCTCTCTGTTGTATATATACTACATAGATATATATTATTTTATTATAAATTTCTCTGAGATTTCAATTGATTATAGCAACCGTGATCACGGGCAATCGAGATGAAAGTGTAAGTTACATAGTAAGTTCTAGATTCTAGTAAGTTCTAGATAAGTTAAGATAAGATAGTTCTAGTAAGTAAGTAAGTAGATACATTCTCTATGCACACAGAATGCGCTATGTCTGACTATGTGTAAATGTGAGTTTGGCTCGGTGGTTACGGACATGGAATTTTATATTTTAGTTGTGGAAATTTAAATAATGAGATCTGAGATTTTAAATGAAACTAATATTTTGCGGATATACTTCGCGACTTTATTTTTGATACAAACTACGTACTCTCGACGTTTCGGTTACTTTACAGCAACCGTGATCACGGGCCGACGAGAGTATGGTTTATCGAACCGAATGTAGTGGCCTGGTTTATCTATCGTGTGTTCACTGTTCACACACTTGTGGCTTTGATTCACGTCTGTTTTTTAATAACCAATATGTGAATTATTCTTTTACCCATGTACTGACGCTCTTCTCCCTTTGTTTAATGTATGAAAAGCCACAGTCCTAATCAAGTTTGCACATACCGGCTTATTATATAGGAATGGCACTCTTAATTGTCTTGATCGAAACCATCTTCAAGCTGTTGCCTATTCTGCCAGTAGCACATTTCAAATACTATATCAGGTTGTCGTTCAACTGTGGTTGGCTTCAAATAAAATAATAAAACCACATAGTATGTCAGTGAACATAGGTTTATATATTATTCAAACTAAACGATATTTCGGTCACGATTTCTATATTACAATACACGTCTTCTGTAATTCGCGGCAGAATTTCCATACGAAGTATAATTATCTCTCAGCGCGCAATGAATATTGAACATTCTGTTATTATACATAGAAGTGGTCGTTGTGAACTTTGATTGGAGTATTATCTTTGTTTTACAACGTGATTGCTGGCTTAGTTAAAATAGCGTTTACATTTTTTAATGAAATTTCTTTCTTATTATAAAACTCATGATATTATAAAACTCATGTCGGATAAGAGTGAAACGGTAAAATTTTCTTTATGAATTTGCTATAGTAGGAAGGTCTGCATATTTTTTATATTTTGAAATTCTCTGATACAATGTATTAAATTCCATGATAATTATTACTTTTAATACTAAAATTAACGTTCGTGTTTGATGTCAAATGTGTGGGAGCTACTTAACAATTAAATGTATATAATGTTTAAGTGGCTTTCTAAGTATATTAAGTTTGTAAATGGTTTGTTTTGTTTTGCCGCTCTGGGAAATAATACTGTCAAGTTAATAGAAACATCTCAGTGTTTTTCTATTTTTTTTTTGTTTAATTTACAAATGAGGTTATTTACAAGTACACTGGCAATGGATTATTATGGCATACAATATCGACGAAATTATGGAGTAATGAGAAGGCTCATAGTATAAAATATATATATTTATCATTTATCTTGTATGGTATATTTTGTTTTAGAGAAAATACAAGTCACTACTGATGCAGTCGATTTTGTTATTTTCGGTAATAATTTGTTAATTTTAAAGTCAACGGTCATCAACTAACGGATAAGAAATGTGAATGAATATTGCGTTATCAAAGTACTAAATACTAAGGAAAGCGAATATCTTAGTCGAAAGCTGACATCGGCCGCTGTCTTAATTACCACTCAGCAGAGGAGTTCTTGCAACCAACCAATTCCGTGCCGGCTGGAACCCGTGCAGCTAGTGAAATTGCCAAGGTTGATAAAAGAATAATCATCGTTTCAGCAAAAATATCTTTTCCAAGCAATAAAAATAATGGTGGTAGAGCCTAGCTGTAGTCATGTTACTACAGCTCTAAGATGTGCTGGCTCGATGGGGAAGTACCATCCTCTCACAAAAAATCGGCGTGAAGTAGTGTTTAATGGCTGCGTTTCGTCCGATGAGTGAGAGAGCCGGTCGCCTTTTCCTACTATTTCCCTATCCCCATCCCTCCATTTCCTTAACCAATTTTATTTTTTCCGTTTGGGTGCTGAATAAAACATCATGTTTGGGAACAATTTTATATAAAACAACATTTTAACGTAAACGACACAGATTCGCTGAGCATTTCGAAATTAAATTAGGATTGATCTTATTACAATATATGTATAACAGAAAATAAATATGTCACAAATATATAGTCACAGGTTTATTGAGGAAATGTCTGATGAATTACAGTTTTGCGACCCTTACATCTGACTTTCTTTAACGTGGTTATAAAAGAATACAATGTTCGGAAATGCCTGATGTGGCAATGTACACGAAAATCTTAATTATGTGCAGAGTACGTCTGTGATATGGTCAACTAACAGATGTTGGAACATATTAAGTAACATTGAATTATTAACGCCATTTAAGACATCGAATAGTATCTTTTGCACTACGAAAACAAATGTAAATGTTTAATTTATTACGACTACGATAAATACAATAAAATAATATCAAGTTACAAATATATTAGATATTTAACACTTATTACATTGGACTAGATGATATCACAAAAAGAATGAGTGTATATAATACTACTTTATTTATTATAAATTAAATAAAAATATGTGACACTATGTCAAAAGTTTAAAATTCAATAAAAACATTAATCACATTTATTTCTTTTCACTAGCAATACTCAGTAATGGTCTATGTACGGATATAAATATTTTGCTCTAGTAACACTTAACATCGGGACAACATTGTCTAAACATTAAAGCTAATTTTACATTCAAAGCGACATATAAATATAGGTAAAGATGGATTTTACACTAAAATATAGAATTTATATTCCTTACAATAATCATAAGAAAATTCCACAGGAGCAAAACTCCGAAAACGGTTCGTGAACCCTAATAAATAACATTAATAATATGACACCTCCTTGCACTCAATGAAACTCGCAGATAAAATAAAATCCTTTTGAAGTATATTAAAGGTAGTTCACGAACTGTTTCATAATACAATTATTATTTTAATAATACATCAAGGTAATACAAAACAATTCGAATATCATTCTAAGACCGACTAATAAATATGCATTAGGCTTTAATAGAATATCAATCCACAATAATTTATACGCACCATTTCGATTACTTCTATAGTTTTTATTTCGGTATATTTGGTGCGAAATCTTATAATAATTTTCTACCGGTTTAGTTTAAAATCAAATAATCTTTCGGAGGTTGGCAGTTCGTTATCGATGTTACTATAATAAAATATTAAAATTATTATTTATTATATTATTATTATAATGATTTATTAAATAATTTAAATTCGCTTCATTGTCTAATTTATTTAAAAAACTCACGAGACAACTAGAAACTAGAGACAGGAAGAAATAACTACATTAAGAAGCTTTTGGAAATATTAATTATTTGGCGTAATGATACTGACGTCTGTGGCGACTGTTCAAGGTTATAAAATGAACTGTACTGTTTATTTATAAGACTACGACCCATGCTAATCGTCATCTAAAAAAAATATTTCTACTATTACAGACGTTTTAGTTTTGGATATAGCACTTTGTATAAGCTTGCTATGTTTTCCAAAGTAACAAAATTTTATAGCGTAGATTCTACAAACATCGAAATTTTGAAGAATTATAATTTAAGGAATGATCTTTACGAGTAAATAGAGAAGATTTAAGAGTGGGATTAAAATATTAAGGGAAAATAATAACAAGAGAGCCCCTCCGGCGACCTTTTCTAGTTTCAACCGTCTGATAATTCCAATGATGTCTAAGCCTGTAGCAGCCTGCCCAACTTCTTCTGTGTCGCTTCAATCCCTGAATGGGAACAGTCCCCCGGGGTTGTCCCAGTCCGCGAGCTCCACGGGACCGAAACACTCGTCGAAGAACTGCTCCATGGAGGAGTACACGTGCAGGAATGAGCGCTCGAAGGAGTGACCCTCATCAGGATACACCTGGAAGATGAATCATCATGCGCTGGTTAAGGTTACTATCTCTTATCTGTCTATATGGTCAGTATGGAAGGTGGCAAGTTCTAACTTTCATTTGTTGTGTTTGGCGGAACATATTTTAAGTTGGATGTACAATTCATTTTATTTTAGATATTTTTTTGTCGTGTTGTATTTAATATGGACAAGACCTTAAAATAATACTTTCATAAACTGAAACATGATCCAAGCGACCTAATGGTGGATTCTAATAATGCGATATCGATAACGATCGATAATACGTTTTCTGATTTCGTTCCCAGAAATCTGTTCGTAAAATTTGTCAAATTTACTATAGTTAATATAATTGAAATCTATCAGAGACATTTTAATCCATTACTTTGAAGTCTGTGATGGAATCCTTCTAGTCTTTGGACTGATTCTAACCTGATGAGAGTACACGGCCCTGGCTTGTATGAGAGCTCGTGCAAGAGCGAGGGCGTGAGGCGGAGGAGCTCGCACGTCCGCGGTGGCGTGAGCGAGCAACACGCGCCGAGGAGGGACCGAGGACGCGCGACGCCACACTCCTAGGGACGCTCCACCACCCACACCCGCGTAGCGCTCCGACCAGAACGAGTCTGAGGGGTAAACAGCTTCAACTTACTATTCTAGTTTAGAAGATTTCAATATTTCCCTGAATAAAAATGCCACTTGTTATTGGGCAATTGCTATAAGACAAACATATTAAAAACACTTTAAGTTTGAGAATTTGTTGCCACCCTTTATTGAGGAATAGGCGGAAAAGGTGGGAAAGGGAGCGAAGAGAGAAAGGTCAGGAAAGGGTGGGAAAAGGGAAAAAGCAGATATGGATATTTTTTCTGTAATATCTACTCCATTGACTGAATATGCCGTATTGTTGGCATTTTTGTATCGTTCTGATGCACGTAGCCAATATTTTCTGTAGTTGTAAATGATCGTGTAACTCACTGTGGTGTCGTAAGTCAGCAAGGGGCGCCAGCAGGGCCAGGCACCTGGTGAGGTTGGCCGCGTCCCCAGCAGCCAGGGCCAGCGCCGCGGCCGCTCCATACCCGCTCCCCCACGCACCAGTACGACTGCCATCCACCATCTTCAGGTTGTCACGGAGGTAGCTGACACAAACAAACATACATCTACAACGTTCCTTGAATCAGGTTACAATTGAAGGGTATCGAGTATTAAAACTGTCTTTGTCATATTATTGTATTGGTTTTCTGTAGATTATTACAAGTTATTATATGTCAAATGGTTATTACCAAACGGTTAAGTAGACGTTAAGTGGAAGTGGTTAATCCAAACGCTTAAGTTTATGGACTTTACTTACATATGTAAAAGGAAAAGAAATGGTAGGGCAAGGGAAACGGCATTTATGACTTTTTTGTTTATTTTCACATACATATCGCTTATATTACAGTTTAAGACAAACAGGTATGCGGACCTGTTTTCTCTAGAACAATATGTTATATTAAGGATTCTGTAAAGTTAGGTGTAGTTTACAGCGAAAAAGTAAAACGTATTTGAGAAGATCTAACATAGTAGTCCATTAGTCAGTAAGGCAACATCATTAACATTATAGTTTCCATTACTCTTGTTGAAAGTTTTGTGTACTTACGATAAAACAGCTATTTGGTCTTCAACGTCCACTGACAGCAGTTTTTGGTATATCTCTGTTCGTAGCTCCTCTCCCTGTTAAAGAATTTCTTCTGTTATTTAAAGAGATAATACAAAGAAAAATAAAATCACCAAAACAGTATAAGAGATGGTTTTGCTTTCTTTTAAAAAGGCTTTGGCAATACTGAACTGACTTTGAAATATAAAGATAGATAATGCTTTTAAGGATTAAAATAACCATGAAAGATATATATGTACATATACAGGGTGACTGGTGAATTACTATCGATACTTGAGGACGTGATATTTGACGATCATATATGACAAAATAAAAATTAATGTAACATAAATATTAATAAACTTCTAAGTAAAGTTAACCAAAAGTTATGTAATTAATTACGAAGGTGTGAACACCCTACAGATTAGGTATACACACACACAGACACACACAAACGCGTGCGGCGGCGTGGTGTTGTATCAGCACGCCGCCGCACGCGTCCACTTTTGGAACACTTGGAACGTGTCCAGACTTTATTTATTTATACGGAAATTTTGTCAAAAATTAAGTACCTATTTTTTTTTACATAATTCGAATGAGAATCATGTACCGAGTATTCTTCTCCTTAAATATTGATAGTAATTCACCAGTCACCCTGTAAATACTAGTTAATATAAGAATAATGTTTCGTGTAAAAATTGTATATAAATTTTCATTCAATTCATTGCTTCCATTCCCCTGTCTTTAATAAGATGTAATCTTCAATCATATACTACACCTGTCCGCCGGAGCCTCTCGCGTCTATTTCAGCGACTATGAAGTTCCTTGCGGCGGCGAGGTACCAGCCCCAACGAGGCGCCCACTGCTCTGTCACCAGCTGGGACCCTGGGGCCGAGGACCTTGATGAAACATAAATAAAAGATTTTATATGAGACGATGTTTAAAATATTTTAACCTATTTGTTTCTTCACAAAATGTTGGTAATCAATTAGATTGTTCTTAAAAATGCAAAATAAAGTTCCTTGATACAATTAATGCTGGAATTTTTATATCTTTCTAAATAGAAGAAAAACCTTATATTAATATATAGCTTTTTTGAGATATGTATATATGAAATAAACTCACAAATGCAATACTAGTGGTAGCGGCAGGTCGTCAGTATCACGCAGACCCGGAGGCAGAAGTAACCTCACACGAGCTGATCTTTGTGCCTGCACCTGTAGTAGTAATGTCATAATTATTCTGATGAATCAGATATCTATACAATACTATTTATAAAAACTTCTCAAAACTCCTGTGCTGAAGCCACACTAATTTTGCCAATGTCTCCTATACTATATTAGTGCTATCTTTCATGATTTTTTTAAATATACCGTTTCCTATAACTTCGTGCACTCAACTGGTTACAAAAATTAAGTTTTCACAAACCAGCTGTAATTAGTTTCGAGTATGTTGACGAGATGAAATAAGACTACTTGATAGACATTTCTATTGTGCCATTCTGTAAGAATGTGTAGAAAATACCAAAATAAATATACAATTACAGGCGGTAAATATCCTGAACTACACTCATACTTACTTTCGCAGTGCTTGTGAAAATGTTTGTAATGTGTCCAATAACAGAAAGATAAAATCATTCACCAGTTAGTTTGTTTCTACAAAGAGTAACTCACCTCAACTCTGAACACTTTCGCTTGCGGTGAAGCGAGGGCCGCGAACTTTTGTCTGAGTGGCGCCCCATCCCAGAGCACGGCCCGGCGGGACCCCGCTGACGTACAGAGGAATATAGCTGGGGGATCTGGACCGAGGCACTCCTGAAAACAGAATAGGGCTCTCATGAGTAAAGCAGAAGACAAAATATATATTGGAAATATTGTGTTAGAAGTAGCTCCAACTATATAAAGTAAGTTTTAGAGCGGCTATAACGCGCTACATTTAAAAAAAAAGAACAGCTCGAGGTGACATCGTTGTAGGGATAAAATATCATATAACGATTGACGCTGCTGACTCCGCGAAACGAACACCAAGCCAGATGATTTCTGATACCCTACAAGCTATGAAATGGTATTGCTATCCCAACATCGGGGCAATCATGTAGTCTTAGGTGTAATTTATAAGTTTTAATATGTAATTCTAATTATAATATACATGAGTATGTTTGGTAGTTTTGGCTCCGATTGCCACCCTATATAATTTGGAGATACTAAGACTAGCTTCAATTGTTTCATAATAAGAATAAACGTCATCGATTTTTCTGACCTGAACGTAGTAGGAGAAATTCTTGCTGAATATAACTCTGTTGTAGAGGCAGGCGGTGGGAAGCGAGTCGTTTTCGTCGGCAACGTGGGGTAGGACTGTGGACGTCGGCCACGCGGGTAATGATGACGTGCTGTTGTCATATTCCTGTTTGTTTGAGAAAAACAATTATAAAATTAACTAACAACTTATTTCCACGTAACTAAATTAGCAGGTTATGTAATAAAATGTGAGTCCAGTATACATAAGAAGTCTGCTGGCATTCAAAATATAGTTTTTGCAAGAAAAATCTGTATAGGATTTTTTTTTTCCACATTTAATTTCAATTGAAAATCTTTTGTGGAAAACATTTTAATATTGCTAAATACTTCTCGTATATTGACTTATCTTCAAGCAGAATTATTTTTTGTAGTACTAAGCTATGTAAAATCTTACATCGAAAGCCATCCTTCTGCAATAGCAACGGTGCATGGACAAAGGGAGAAGTTATATATACAGGGTGACTGGTGAATTACTATCAATATTTAAGGAGAATACTCGGTACATGATTCTCATTCGAATTATGTAAAAAAAATAGGTACTTAATTTTTGACCAAATTTCCGTATAAATAAATAAAGTGTGGACACGTTCCAAGTGTTCCAAGTGTGGACGCGTGCGGCGGCGTGCTGATACAACAACACGCCGCCGCACGCGTGTGTGTGTGTGTGTGTATACCTAATCTGTAGGGTGTTCACACGATGCGTAATTAATTACATAACTTTTGGTTAACTTTACTTAGAAGTTTATTAATATTTATGTTATATTAATTTTTATTTTGTCATATATGATCGTCAAATATATCGTCCTCAAGTATCGATAGTAATTCACCAGTCATCCTGTATATGTAATCTGCTGGGTTACCGGTTTCTCCGTGCTTGGTTCACTAGTAAACTCCAAAAATATAAATAAAAAAACGTAACAGATATTTCTTGATTATAGGGCGATACGAAGTTCGCCGGGTCTTCTAGTATATATATATATATATACAGGGTGACTGGTGAATTACTATCAATATTTAAGGAACATACTCGGTACATGATTCTCATTCGAATTATGTAAAAAAAATAGGTACTTAATTTTTGACCAAATTTCCGTATAAATAAATAAAGTGTGTACACGTTCCAAGTGTTCCTAGTGTGGACGCGTGCGGCGGCGTGCTGATACAACAACACGCCGCCGCGCGCGTATGTGTGAGTGTGTAGTGTAGAGTAATCTGTAGGGTGTTCATACGATGCGTAATTAATTACACAACTTTTGGTTAACTTTACTTAGAAGTTTATTAATATTTATGTTATATTAATTTTTATTTCGTCATATATGATCGTCAAATATCACGTCCTCAAATATCGATAGTAATTCACCAGTCACCCTGTATATATATATATATATATATATATATATATATATATATATATATATCTGTTGTGTTACCGGTTCCTCCGTGCTGGGTTCACTGGTAGCTTCAATCATCCGTCCAGGGCAGGTGAGGCAGACGGGTGGAGGAGGCCAGCCGTCCACTGGCACCGACACGCGGTACAGGTGACGCTCACCGGCTTTGTCAGGGGCGGTGCCGATCACGTAGCTGAATAAAAGACGATGTTTTAGACAATTATAATTAAAATAGAGCAATTATAACTATTATAATAATATAAAATGTCCCAAAATGTGTTTGTTCTGTTAAAATACATTAAATATAAATTTTACATAACGTCACGCCTGCGGACTAAATGCTTGAAGTTTGTGATTTCCTTATGAATATATTTAAAAAAATGCGACGTTTTCATGAATTTCACGAAAATATATACTGTGAAATATAATTTCACTCCTGTAAAGTAAGAGTTTATTTTGCCAATATAAAAGAAAAAACAAACTAATTTAGAGAACAAACATACAGCAGTCTTCGTTTCTCATCCCATCCGATCAGCTGTGTTATTTCGAAGTTCCCCTGTGTGATGGTGGTCCTCGTCTCCTGTGTCAGATGTATCGCGTGTCTCCACACTCCTCCCTGGTCGGTGACAGGTATGGAGGTGAAGATGCCGCTCCTCCCCCCCACCAGCGCCGCCCCCCCGCACCAGCCGCACTCCTCCTCCGGGTCTGACCCAAGACCTGACCATCGCGAAGCGTCAGACTCGTCGCGATAGATCTGAAAATTAAATGTATTTTTGTATTACATGTAATTGGACATGTATTTCTATTTTTAAGGTATAAAAGAAGAAGGTTCCCTTTCAACCGTATGATTGTTTATGTAAGCGCTAAATATTTTTTGTTTGTTTCCTCAAAAAAACATCGTGTGAATAGATTGAGCTCTTTTAATAAACTTATCGCTCGCTAACTATTGTTTTGTTCGATTATCACAATCGTTCCAGTAAATATGAATTGATTTTCAGTATTTCATTTCTTGTATGGTAGGTCATATTTCTGCCATGGGCTCTGATAATTTATAAAAATCTAAGCTATCAAACATACGTTTATAAATCTTTAATTCAACACTCACATCCTGGCAGTTGTATGTAACAGCGTTGCACGTGGTGATGATGGATAGATTCTGAGGTCTGTTGAGGAGCAGAGCAGCTACCTGACGCTCAGACACCCAACTGGTCCAACGAACATACCAGCCTAATAAAATTAAGTATGGACTTAAGTAATGTATAGTACATAATATACAACGTGTAACATAATTAACGCACACCCTGAAAGTAGTTTGTTCAGAATCGGAATCTGGATCGATTTTTATAGTTTTTTATGTAGGTCATTTTTTTTCTCAAATTTAGATAAAACTAAGTAAATTACAGTCATCCTACACACAGTTATCTAAACACTTCAGTGAAACGAAAATGCATCGTAAGTCAGAGTATTAAGATTTTTAAAATGAAATATTAAAATAGTAATCATCATTCAATTAAAGAAAACTGATACTTGTTTCAAGGATAAAATAAATAGTATTTTACAAATATCTACGCATGCACAGCGACAGCCGGAACACATCAAATACCTACGCATGTGTCCATTGGCCTCCTAGATCAGCTGATTTGACGACACTCGACTTTTTTTGTGGGGGCGAATTAAATCGCTAGTTTTATAACACAGAGACAACAAGTGTCGAGGAACTAAAAATTAAGGTAATAACCGCCTTTGTAAAAGTGAAAAGTGACACTGCAGTATTATCTAAAATAAAACCACAATTGCGAAAACGGTCATTAAAGTGCATTGAACAAGGCGGTGGACATTTTGAAAATGTTTTAAAACGACAACGCCGTGCGAGTGCAAATTAAACTGTAAGTTTGTTTATGATCTTTAAATTATTGTTAATATTTTGATTCACACCATTTAAACACGCCGACTTTGTCGTAGGTATTGTGGTGTCTAATCAAATCACGCGTTTTCAGCTGTTTAATAACTCTTATTTACAAATTTAATTTAACAAATCAGTAATTATAAAATATTGGCTTCACATTAAAAAAAAATTCAATGTCGACAATCTTAAGCCTGAAAAGTGTGATGGAAAGAAGGATCATAAATCATAATGTAGTTATTTCGTGTACTTATTATTACCTACTACTTATTATTGTCGGACGGCACTCAGAGAGAGGGGCGCGGGCGAGGCGAGTACATTGTGTCTGTCTGTGTGTGCGTGTGCAGCGGAGTGTTGGTGAATAGCTGACCATATTATTTGCACGAAATTGGGATAACTAATTTCACAAATAAAAAATGCAAACGCACATATAAATAATATTTGGTGTATGCATTGCGTTTATACATACCTATTATTATATTCTAATTGGGGTGTTTGAGGGTGTGCGTTAATTACGTTACATGTTCTATATGTATTGTCTTCTAGAAGAAGGTTGTATATGTATTTTTAATTATAATTTAAAATATATTATTTAAAAAAATATTTTATCATAGTAGTTACGTATATGTGTAGTTAATGTAATGTCACGGTCGCGGCGTTTCTATGAAATTTTGCATTCTATTTATTGCAAACGTTTTGCTCAATTAATCAGATTTCTTGATTTATAACTAATTTGTTATTTGCTGATTTGCTATTTTAATTCCGGTAATTGAGCGATTTAATCAATCTAATAATCTTTTATACCCAATCTGTAAAATAATGTACTGTTTATCTAAATCTTAATACTTTAATAGTACTTACATTGTAAGACATTGATAAATGATACAAAGTGAAAATCAACATTCATACCTTATATGTATATATGTAACTATCCATAAGTGGATGTGTGTAGTAAAAAAGTGATAAGGTTTTTTCATTTCGACGAAGTATTAAGAGAACAAAACAATTCCGTCAGCAAAATGTTCAAACTCTGAATTGAATATATTCTTCTGACACTTTCAGAAATCTTTGTTTCCACTTTTTATAAATGGTATTCACGAAAAGTTTGAAGAATATGTCTAAAGAACTTTGGAACGTATTATTAAAATTTATAACATAATCGCAATAACATATGTTATGTTTATCTTACCAGCGTCGAAGGGTGAGTTAAACTGTATAGCATGTGGGAATAAAAACTTTGGAGTCTTCAGACTGACCACGTAAACCGTCACTGCTGGATTATTAGTATTCATCTGCGAACAAAAAATATAGCACTTTAAGTATTCGAAAATAAATCATATTTATATTAAAACTAGCTTTTGCCAGCGACTTTATCTGCGTTAGTTTCAAAATAAGAAATTTATAGCTGACAAGGCGAACCGTTTCGATTTAGAGGCAGTAAATAAACAGATTGGAGATTTTAGTAACTTTTTTTTTGGTACAACGAGTTGAAAAGAATGTTATGTCTATCTCCTAATTTATTTTTATTTTATTTTATTTGGATAACCAACAAAAGAAAACATTATTACATTCATTTAATTATCAAACTATTAATAATAAATGTCCTTTCAGTTATAGGCTATCACATCATGCAAAACCAAGATTTAAATTAAAAAACAATAATGAGACGAAAGTTCTCAGCATTCCATGTATTCACCGTGCGGGTGCCGGGTCCATCGCGTTGCATAAATTCAATAAAACATTACGTAATAATCACTAACATTGACATAACTAATAACATTATTACAGAAAATACAATTCAACATTTCAATATAATTCAAAGTTTTAAAATATCACAGAAATTAATTAAACAATATATATTTTTTATTTTATTATAGTTATTCAAAAAAATGCATTATGTGTAATAATTCTAGGCACTTTCCACACAAATTTTCAGCTAAATCCGAGTACCCGTTATAGAGTTATAAATAGTGTAACTGACACGACTTTCCTTTATATATATAGATATTTTTGTTTGATAGAGATGGTGAAAAATTTAATTACCTTCGGATATCTCAGGGTCCTTATGGCAGGATACGCGGGTGGTTCTTGTTGATCCAAACCATACCATGGATATTTGTGTTGTTGTACCAGGGTGTCATTGTAGGTCACGTACATGAGCGTCTGTCCATCGGGACTGAACCACAGGGCTCGGTCAAGTCTCAACACCTCTGTCTCATATAGAAAGTCTGGTACGCCATTGAAGATTACTCCTGGAACTCCTGGAAATATTCGTATGCAGTGTTTTATACTTGACGAAGACATCTATGTGTAGTATTAAAATGCTCTGTTATGATAATGTTAATATGATATGATTTCTTTTAAAATTATAATTAGGTACCTAGGTATGTATATTTGTCTTACATACGTGAGCTGCTACTATAGTTAATACTTTATTTCATTGTTCTCTTACAAGAAATTATTTCAAATTGTTACTATGTATAATATATTGTTAGCTTCATAAACAATGTTTCGGTCTACCAATCAATTGAAACATGCATTAATATCGGTACGATCGTAGATAGTTAGGCTTTTCCAACTTGGATACCCCGAAGTTGCAAACTCATCTATTACAGAGCGTTCATAATACATATAAAACAAGGAACAAGAAACTTTCACTTTGATAACATAATTGTTATACCGAAGTTGGCTAACTAAGTTCATTAGACCATCGGTAAATTATGGGACACGGAAAAGTCTTTGACCGAAAATGTTTTTACTTTTAAAAGCTATATCTTAAATAATAGGTTACAATAAAACACCAACAAAAAGGACGAAAAGTCTTATAAGGAGTAAATAAAGCAATTCTCTTCGGTATTTCGAAGGCAATTTACACAAAGTCTTTATGGCTTTGTGTGTTAAAGAAATCAAATAAAGCTCGAAAAAGATTGGAATCTCCGATTTAGAATTTGTAAATGTTAGCACAAAGCATCGATTCAGAATACGATTCCGATGTAGGGCGTGTAATAGAAGTAATAATTCTTGTGCTTTTGAAAAACTGTAATTTAGTTTTTTTATTGTGTTTTCTTTGCTTTCATCGATGCAATGGTGTGTTATGCTTATAGTATTCATGCTTTTGGTAATGGAAATCAGTCTTCATTTATATTCTACTTATTTAAAATTTTCTTTACGATTTAAGAGTTCATTTGTGTTTTGTTTCGATTATATAGTTTTTTTTGTTTAAAAATATTAACGTGAGTTTATAAAAATTTTATTCTATATGTGAAATAATCTTTAAATAAGAAAATAAGAAATAAAGATTTATCGACGCGCACAATTCAAACCTGAAACAGACATACAATGCAAGAAATACTGTTAATATGCATCGTTCGCCAGATGCAAAGTTTATAAAATCAAAAAAAGAAATAACACTATGTGTCTCATTTTAAGCAAACTATTGTCTTTTTGAGAAAAAAAGACCTCCGGACTGAAACGTGTGTAAATATCTTATTCCAGTTGCTAAAATGTCGATGAATTTTCATTCTAAAATGTATTTTTCTGTTCATTACAATTTATCTATTAGTTCAGCATTACCTTGATGTAAATAAAAACAAGTTTAGTAATCTGTGCGTATAATTGTTTGACTTCATATAAAATTTTGAATTCAAACTTACATTTCAAGACAATATCCTCTTTGTTAGAGTTTACGCTACGTTAAAAACGGCGCTAGGTTTCATCTTTACAATATTTATAAAATAAATTTATCATATACAACTTCATTTCCACCTTCCCAAGGGTGGAATGACAGTCAAGCACTATACAGTCGAAATATATGTATAAGTAAAGCTTCTAAAAGTCTAAGCTGTTAAGATCTCCAATATTACATTTCCTGTGTCGGATAAAGTCCAAATATATCCTAGTTTCTCTAAAATCAAGCTAGACCATGCTGACAGTTTACGCTTAGATTTCGCTAAATTGGTAATATTGTTAACTGTGATACAGCTATGCTGAGTCAATTTGAGAGGAATAGATGCGTTTTCCAGATACGACGTTTTTCAGTGCGAAAATTTTACTGAATCAAATAATATTTGAATGTATTTAAACCCTATTTTTGAATAGTGCAAAACATTACTTGCCTTACCATATACTAAAGAATCGTTTATTAATCCTTTTGATCACTTTATATATTGTATCCTAAAAATCATTCTTATCATATATTTATTAATGATTTCTTTATGCAAATTTCTCATTATAATATTATTATTATATAATTACCGTTACTAGTGATTCTGCAAACCAAGGCTTTCAAAACTTTGGGTTTGTAGTAGATGTCGTTGTCATAAACGAAGACCAGCCCGGAGCCGACAGGAGACCACTCAGCATACTGCAGTAGCGGAGCAGACCTGTCGTCTTCTATCGGCGAAATGGGGATTTTGTTCCTGAGACAAAATTTGGATAGTATAGTATATATAGGATTACATAAACTCAATAAAAAACAGTGACAACTATAGAGCAGAGTCCCATCGTTGGTGGATTTGATGCTCCCTCAGGCACAGTTATCTCAACTTAAATAAAGATGTTTTGATCTTCACACGATAAAAGACGAAAGAGGTAAAAGGAAAATGAGAGGTTTTTGACTGTTATATGTAAGGCAGGGTAGGTCTTATACATAGCTGCAGCTACCTAAAAATAAAGTTAAATAATCCATAATTGAAAATATGACAGCTAATTTTCAGTAAGATACAGTGAGTTTTCCATCCAGTTCAGCTATACCTACCTCCTGACCAATACTGCTAACCAGATTTGTCAAGACTTACATATACATATTTATTAGTTGTTACTCACCTCGTTATAACATCATACACGTGGTATCTCGCCAGTCTTGCGTGTCGCCAGCCCGGTCTCACATCTGATATCAACAGAACGAACTTCAAGTCAGCAGAAACTTTAAAGTCGACAGCATTCAGCTCCCTCTAGTGACAAAATAAGGAATCATTCAAACATTTTTATTTCATATACTTCAACTGTAAAAAATACTATCATATTACTAATTATAATTGTTAGAAACTGAATTTTCCAGTGTTCCTAAAAATACGTGATATTTTTTTTGGTTTGTTTGTTTGTTGTTTTGGTTTGTTAAAATAATAATATATAGGCTGAAATGGTTTTGAATCTTTTTTCTTTGACATCGATTCATTTACATCGAAATATATGAAAAACAGGGATTATTTTAAAATAACTCCGTACCATATGATTTCCCAACTTATCGAAGAACGTAGAATCATATAGTATATAAATATTGTAGTAATTCAGTGGCATAATAGTTTTTAATTTTTCAAACATTTGAACAGAGTAATACGTACATAGTATGTCAAGAGAATATTTTAAATACCTCTGAAATGTTTCAATAATGATTGGATTCCGAGAATATTAATTTAATTATTCTATTTAGACACTCATGTGTGTGATATCATCACCGGGAGTAATTTACATAAATGATTGGTAGCTTGATCAAATGTAATTAGTGGGAGGTAAACAGATCAAAAGCAAACACATTAGTAGACTCCAAGAGCCATGTGATTTAGTTTTTGTCATAACCCTTGTTTATTTGAAATGATAATTATGTATTTTATCATTCATAATCTATTATTCTACAAAATTATATTAATTTGTCAATTAAAATAATACGAACAAATAAAATATATCTATAAATAGACAACGGCTATTATTTTTCGACCACTCTCGTTTGGATTTGGAGAAAAATATTTCAAACCTTTCATGAGCAAAAATATTTTAATGACCCTAATTTATTCAATATTCTATATATTACAATATAAAGACAAAAAAGTTGGTACAATTGGTAGATATTAACTTAACCGTTTATGAGTCACAATCAAAATCATAAAATTTTATAGTGTTTTAAAATGTGTGGCCTCAATAGTTTCATTACTTCAATTATGTTTTAAGAAACATATCATAAAATCAAGTCAAGTTTTTATTATTTATTTTAATTGCTGAAACGCTTAGAAAAAGACTTTTCATCTAATGAAATATGAGGAAGATTTATAGAAGTGAGATTTTAGTTCCTACGTGAATGAAAAACTATTTTGTTAAAACAAATGTATGTTGAATGTCATAGTGGCCTGAAGGTTAAGTCACACCTCTCGTTGTATGAGGCGCGGGTTCGAAACCTGGCAAGTAAGTAATATTTTGTCCGAGTTATATGTACATTTTAAAAGTATTTAGGCTCCACTGACCGACGGTGAAAGAAAACATCGTGAAACCTGGACTTATAAATTCCTCAGGAGAAGAGGCCTCAGACCTCAGACATCAGCAGTGGGCGCCGGTACGCTGATGATTTTGATGCATATGTCGAAACATCACGTAATATTTAATTTTTAAGAAGAGTGTCCTCAGTAATGTTGACGTCACTGTTACTATTTTCAACAGTCAGCTTATTCTTCTTTCATTTAACTAATAAAACACTTACAAACACGTCCACTACCTTATTTCAGACTGTAACTTGCACTTGCAATTAGATAATCTTCCTTCTAGATAGTTCTCACACTGCTGTCATCACACTTATTCTTTTAATTTTAAATATTTAGTTACGATGAGTAATTGTAGTCATTCAAATAAACACAAAAAATTACAGTAGTTGATTATTAAACCATCTTTTCTTAAGAATTTATAGAAAACAATTGATTAACACTGATTACAAATTAGTTACTGTTTAAGTAACTAATCTTCACATATTGCAAATCACGATATGAATTAACCTTTACTGTTTTTTAATACAAATCATACAACGATCTGTAGAACAAACTACAAATAACATTGTGAAAGAAATTTCTAATATCACGACAGATGATTATAACACATCTACCCTCTAAATTAAAGTTGTTATAAAACAATTATCCCTAATAAAGGGTTTTAAATGGTGTTGCGTCAACATACATATATATGTATTTACTTATGTAAACATACGTTAAAATGAACTTCTGAAATTAAAATATTTTCTCGAACCTAAAGCATTGAAAACAATTTGTGAAAAAATATTTTACGTTACTTTTATAATGCTTAGGGGGCGATCAGTTTCGTTTTATGTTCACCTAAACAGGAAAATTCTTCAGGTAAACATCGGTCTGAGCAAAATTATATCTTAAAATGAATCTATGTGTTGTAAATACTCCATAGCTACATATATTACTTTATCATACATTTTCCTGAGATTTCGATTAATTATAGTAACCGTGATCACGGGCAATCGAGATGAAAGTGTCTGTAAGTAAGTTCTGTTACTTATCATCTAGCGTCAACAAAATCTTAATTTGAAGAATTTTTTTTTATGGGAAAAAGGGGCAACCGAGCAGACGGCCTACTTGATGGTAGGTAGTTACCGTCGCCCATGGACATCCGCAACGTAGATTTGCGGATGTGTTGCCGCCCTTCATTGGGGAAAAGGAGGAGGAAAAGGTGGGAAAGAGAGGGAAAGGAAAGGTTGGGAAAAGGGAAAGGGCAACCGGCTCTCTCACTCACCTGACGAAACGCAGCCTTTAAAGACTACTTCACGCCGATTTTCTGTGAGAGGGTGGTACTTCCCCGGTCGAGCCAGCCCATGTTCGAGCACTGAACAGAATGCACTGTGTCTGTCTGTAATTGAGTGTAATTGTATGTTGAGGTTTGGTAGGGTGATCACGGACTTGGGATTTCATATTTTAGTTGCCAAAAATTCCAAGTGTTTTATATATATATATATATATATATATATATATATATATATATATAACTATGTATACATATAGGTGCTATTTATATATATAAATGTAAGGGTGCCTTCACAAGCGAGGATTTGTGGTTTAACAAACCGAATGTAGTAGCCTGGTTTAACTATTGTGTGTTCACACACTTCTGGCTTTGATACACTTCTGTTTTTGATAACCAATATGTGAATTATTCTTTGACCCCTGTACTGACGCTCTTCTCCGTTTGTCCAATGTATGAAAAGCCACAGTCATAATCAAGTTTGTACACACCCGCTTGGTGTAAAGGAATGGCACTCTTGATAGGTCTCGAGAATCGGCTCACTTTCTTGTGTGGTTTGTATATAGTCTTGATCGAAACCTTGTTCAAAATGTTGCCTATTAGCTATTATGTGAGAAAATTTCTTCATATATGGCAATAAGTAAGGTTGTCGCTCAACTAGGGTTTGCTTCAAATAATATAATAAAACCGCGTAGTATGTCGGTAAACATAGGTTTATATATTATTCAAACTAAGCGGTATTTCGGTCACGATTTCTATATTGCAATACACGTCTTCTGTAATTCGCGGCACAATTTCCATACGAAGGATAATTATCTCTCAGCGCGCAATGAATATTGAACATTCTGTTATTATAGAAGTGGTCGTTGTGAACCTTGATTGGAGTATTAACTTTGTTTTACAACGTGATTGCTGGCTTATAGAGTAAGAGCCCGGGGCCCCCAGACGTTACTTATTTTCTGAGTAACGAAAAGCATCGTACAGAGTAGTGTTAGGGTATACTCTGAAGATATGCATACCTGCTAGTTTGGGCCGACGGCCAATTCACAGGTACCAGGTGCTAGAGGTACATAAAAATATTGGTCACTTTTCTTAAATTCTGAGAGCTGATTTTTATATATATTTTTAAAAATTATATTAAAAATATAAAATTAATGTTGCCAGAACGTTTTCTTCAGCCGTCATTTCCGCCAGACGCTTTAAAGTTTGGAAAAAAATAACCTAAGTTTACTCAAAGTCTGAATCTTGATTTTTATATATGATATTTTAGAAACTATTTTAACACTATTTCTATGCAGCCAGAAAAATTCTGGAGGCCAAATATCTCCCAGACATATTTATCGCCAGATTTGGCGAACTGGAGTTATTTATTATTATGAGTTATTTATTTTATTAGTTGTAATAGTGAATTTGAGGAAGAAACCTTCAATACCATCAAAAAAATTATTTGCAATGTTTATAACGTGGCCGGAGTCATTGATGTAGATGCTGCAAGACTTCAATTGTTTATCAACACCTATACTGCTTCTCATGTAAATGAAGAGTTTATCCGGAAAAATATTAAAAACTTTGATGCGAGCAACTTACCACCGTGTAAGACTGAACTTCGACAGCAGTTCCGGAGAGCAAATTACATCGCTAGTCTCTGGAATAATGCTCATATGAAGATGCTTGGTATTTTCAAACCAGAGAATAACGGATGGAAGTTAGAAGACAACCGATATCAATTAAATTGGTTCGATGGAGATCAATTACCAGCTGTCAATGAATCGCTTAACAAAAACTTAGGTATTTTTCTTAAATTTCCTTTATTTGAGTTAAATTTATTTTAGTCATAATTATGATATTTTATTTGATTTTACAGAGACAGAAACAAGTAATACTGATATTGATGATGATGATGATGATGATAATGATGACTTAGACACTCAATACAAAGATTGGCTGGATGATGAGTCCTCAAATACCAATGATGACGATGACGAATATTAAAAACTAAAATATAATTATTAATAAAGAAAGTAATTCATCTTAAATTTTTTTTTATAAATTTGCTCTACATATTTCTCTATATTATCATGATAAAATGCTAGTAACAATATTAATTTTTTAGTTACTTTTCGTACGAACCTTTCCACTCATAACTTAATAATTTCTATCATACTGAAATTTAAAATTTGTAATTGGGCACTAAAATATGATTTAATTATTATTAAAAAAAATTACAAGACTGAACTAAAACATAAATTCAATGGGCCTGTGATGTAAAACCTCGAAAACATTATGTGCGCGTTAATACTCATGGCGAGATTTTAAATATGTTTGGGAGATATTTGGCCTCCAGAATTTTTCTGGCTGCATAGAAATAGTTTTAAAATAGTTTCTAAAATATCATATATAAAAATCAAGATTCAGACTTTGAGTAAACTTAGGTTATTTTTTTCCAAACTTTAAAGCGTCTGGCGGAAATGACGGCTGAAGAAAACGTTCTGGCAACATTAATTTTATATTTTTAATATAATTTTTAAAAATATATATAAAAATCAGCTCTCAGAATTTAAGAAAAGTGACCAATATTTTTATGTACCTCTAGCACCTGGTACCTGTGAATTGGCCGTCGGCCCAAACTAGCAGGTATGCATATCTTCAGAGTATACCCTAACACTACTCTGTACGATGCTTTTCGTTACTCAGAAAATAAGTAACGTCTGGGGGCCCCGGGCTCTTGGACTATTAGTTATAATAGCGTTTATATTTTCTAATGAAATTTCTTTCTTATTATAAAACTCATGAAGAAAATTAATAAGTCGGTAATCTAATACGATATATTATAATAAGGTCGGATAAGAGTAAAACGGTTAAATTTTCTTTAGGAATTTGTTATATTAGAAAGGGTCTGAATATTTTTTATATTTTGAAATTCTCTGATACGATGTATTAAATTCCATTATTATTATTACTTTTAATACTAAAATTAACATGCGTGTTTGTTGTCAAATGTGTGGGAGTTATAATGTTTAAGTGGCTTTCTGAGTATATTAAGTTTGTAAATGGTTTGTTTTTAGTTGCCACTCTTGGGAATAATACCGTCAAGTTAAAAGAAACATCTCATTTGTTTTTGTTACATTTACAAATCAACATTTGTTTTTGTTAAATTTACAAATGAGGTTATTTATAAGTACACTGGCATTGTGTATGACGAATAGTATGACAAAAAGTTATCATATATATGGTATACTTTGTTGTAGAGAAAATACAAGTTCACAACTGATGCAGTCAAATTTTATGTAAAAATGTATACAAACAATGTTCTTAAAACTTGAAATCCAAAACGTATCTTTGTGTTGTATCAAATATGTCTGATTGCAAGCCTTCAGACATGCTTAGATGTATTAAAAGATTAATGAACTTCTGACACTCGTAAAATATTATTTGCTCTTACTAAAAAACATCCCGAAGATTGATATAATACTTTTTTTAGAATTATTTAAATTGAGGAACCCTTTCAAAGATCTATTTCATTAATAATTTTTACGTAAATAAACTTTTATGTTAATAGATTTTGTTAATTTCCGTAATAATTTGTTAATTTTAGAGTCAACAGTCATCAACTAATGGGTAAGAAATGTGAATGAATATTGTATTATCAAAGTACTCAATAGTAAGGAAAGCAAATATCTTTGTGGAAAGCTGACATCGGCCGCTGTCTTAATTACCACTCAGCAGAGAAGTTCTTGCAACAAACCGATTCCTTAGGGTGAACTTATGCCGAATGCTTCGTCATGTATATACATCGGCTTCCAAAGACCAGTTCAATCACTTTATCGAGGCTCAACTAATGGGTAGACATTCATGAAAAATATCTCTGTTATCTTGGATGTCTTAAATATGTGACATTATGGATACCGGGGCTGAGAACAATCTTACAACCAATAGCTTGGACCTTCTGTGGTTAAAGACACGAACAGATAATGCCATCAAGTCTCATCCTCATTAAAAATCTAACGGCTGATTAATACAGTACCGAAATGCTCTCCATCTGAGCACCAGCTTTACGGTGAAAGACGAATATGCAGTCTAATATAAGAGACAAAAAGAAAATCCCTTATGTATTCTATTTTTGAATTGATATGTATCTCATGTTAATAGCGATATGTTGAACATAGATATAGATCTAATGGTTTTCTTCCTTATAAAGTCTAAATTGAGAATAGCAACATAAAATCTTTGTAATAAAGCTTATAACGATTTGTGTGATTTTAAAAGAAATACAACTAATACAACATCAAAACTTTTTCCATATTCTAGTTTGTTTTAAAATGAAAAATAATCCACAGAACTATATCTGAATGAACACAAATTTGATAATTCAACCTATTTCCCCGTGAAACGAGAATAAATTGAGACGATATATTCACGCCACTATGACTGATTGTGATAATGGTGACTTATTATTCTCTAGTTCGAATAAAATTGTATGAAAAAATTATGAAAATAAACTCTTATAGTATTTTTGATACTGTTTCGAACAAAAATCCTTTATTAATTAAATCATTGTGACTTTTCTTGAGCAAACGATACTGGCCATAATATATTTTTTAATAATCTGATTCCTGAATTTTGGTATAAAATTTTTCCAAGTAAATATTTTTCTATCCCTTTTATTTGTACAGACCAATATCGTAACAGTCGCTGTTTACTGTACTCGGTGTAATTTATAGAAACAGGAGAGTGTTTTCACAACATTTGGTGCTGATATAACATTTTTGTTAAATCAAACATTTTATATCCCTCGTATTTTTACTTTCGGTAAATCCGTTTGTTTTTGATATTATTGGAAATATTTATGAATGTTGCAAGTAAAAACTCAAATAGGTCCAAGTTTGTTTAAATTTTTAATCTGACTTGGTTAATAATATAAATTATGAAATATGCAATGTATTAAACATTGGAATCTATGTAAAAATACAAATCGATTTGGTTATAATGACTGGAAGAATATTTGTGACTATTTTATTAAAGCTTCTTCCTGGTTTAAAGAATAAAACCAAAACAATCTTTTGCAATATTAGTTATGACATTGCAAGACAAATGTGGAAATTGTTTTATATATGTGGTTATCAAGACAGACGTATACTTTAAATGTAATGGCTTCTCGTTACTGAGAGCAACGAAGAAGAAATCTGTTGAAATAATCATTCACTAACGATGTACACATCTCTGAGATGCATCACGACTCACGAGACACCCCACACGCGTATATCTTTTAACGTAAGCGTATTATTTTGATGACATCGTATTATTTTCTTTAAACTATTCTTTATATTATTTCTGTGTTGAAAACGAAATAGTTTAAATAAGATTTTGCTATTAAGAACGGTAATGCTCCTGAATGCTTTATTTACTGTTGATTCTAATGTATTTAATATGATTGGGGTTAAAAAATGAATAAAAATCTTTCGCAATAAGTCTAAGATTAAGACTTTCGCGAGTATTCATTTAAATGAAACAAATATTTTATATATTATATCAGACATCTCGTCTGGTTGTTGCAAAGTAACCGAAACATCGGCATTATGTAGTTTATAAAAATAATATAATACGCGAAGAAATCCGAAAATATTAGTTTCATTTTAAAAAACTCTCATTTTTGTCATTATTATTATAATATATATGAAACAAAAAACACATTTGAATCCTATTCAAATTTTCTTATAACCTTTTCGTTTATCCTATAAATATAATTTATATCTGAACAGCCATAACTTACGTGTTACCCCAGGTGGAGGGATTATTTGCGTTATATTCATAAGTTTCACAACTTCGCACTTTCTTTGGTCGTTTGTTAACGCGCAAACAAACGACCAAAGGGGA